TTTGAAGAAAACTGCATGCCGTCGTCCAGTTACCTGACACTGCATACACCTCGATGTTATCGATTGGTGCTGATAGTCTTGATTATTCGTATGAATAATAATCATAAAGCCGACAATATTCCAAACCGTAGGATCTTCCATCGGAAGTGCTAACCTCTGATTGCAGTGATGATACATCATTCTTCCCCTCTATACGGAGGCGATCTGTGCTGATCAGCAAACTTCGAATCGTTGTCTATTTATAGCACAGCTGGGTGCAGTGTAGCCTCGCCGGGGACAGGCACTCATGCCGACTTTCCTCAGCAACAACTTCAAAAATATATCTTGTTTATGCTGCTGTGAAGGGTAGACATCTATCAGATTCCCCCGATGATAACAGGCCGTAGTTGTATACTGTTTACATGGCTGTCGATGAAGTAATCCCCCGTACCGCGTCTTTGTTTACAAGTCAGTAAACTTTCTGCTAAATTAAGCTGTGTATGGTTTTGATTGTAATTACGATGTATTATTTGTAAAAAAATGTTGAAATTTATTGACTTTGAGTCGTGTTTTCATCGTGTTGTAACCGTGTTTACAACTCTTGAAATCGTGCTGTGTGTGTAAACACAGGTTGTCTCTGGCTGATCCTCACCCCCAATGTCCATCGTGTACAGATCCATGTTCATCCACCTTGCGTTGTATCTATTCTATTGATTTAACTGACTTACAATTTAATCAATATCTGTCTTATGTTTATAGCCGTGTCATGGATCGGGTGATAAAGTCATCTCTAGTCACATGTGATAAATCTGGAAATCAGCCTAAAAACGTTACGTTAAATATGTTACTTGCTGCTGATGTTCATAATAGTGATGTGTTGCCTAGTACATTACAGGGCCAGTCTGCGGCAAAGGGGACTAAGAAAGGTCGTCAACCTCGCAACCTACGCCGTCCCAGTCTAAGAAGAAGACGGTGTCCTCTTCTACTACGCAGAGGAAGTCTATGAGTACTAGATCTGAGGGCAAATCTACACGTGCTACAGCTGCTACGCAGAGATCTTTCAACGAGGAGATCGTACCACCTCATGAGAAAGGCGTGTTTGACGACCACCCTATACTACTACCTGAGGTATCGATGACATCTACGACGCAGTCGATGTCTACTACTACCAGATCATCACTCATGAATGTCACAGCAGGCCAGCTGTCGGACATAAGACCTCTTCCTTCGAGAAAAGAAGTTGAGGCACAGAAAACAGCATCGCAGACGATTCAACAGATGCAGAACTTAGACCCGGGGGAGTTCATGACGCAGTTTACCAACATTATAATGGCTATGATGGAGCAGAGATTCCAGCAAGAATCAAGGAAGACACAACAGTCTGCCGACATCGTGCGCAAACCACTGGTCTGCGCGAATCTACACCCTTCAGAGCTACAACTGCAGTTGACGTTGGCGAACACACTCCTCCACGAAGGGCTCCACAACCGGACAACTCCATCATACTACAAGATGATATGCAGTCAACGTTCACGAACCTCTAAGAAGCCGATCCAGATCGAGATCACCCCGCAGACGTTCGCGAAGGCACAGCTCACCACAGGGAGGTTCGCGAAAAGGTTCCAGAGAGAGACTTTCACAAAGGGAACGCTCCCACGACAGACGTTCGCACAGGGAGGAATCATCAGCTGCAGGTTCGCAAACCAAGGATGAAGGCAGAGATGAGCCTGCATGCCGTGAGTTGTCTGTTGCAGTTGAGATGAATAATTCTGGTGATGACTGGAGTTCGTTACAGGGGCAGTCAGCTTTTACGGGCGCTAAAAAGAAGACGACTACCTCGCAGCCTCTCTTAAGAAGTAGACGTCATCCTCCACGTCGCAGATGAAGGCAACTGCAGCTATGGGGAAGTCGGTGCGTCCTAAGAAGTCGTCCCAGCATAGATCGTTCAGTGAAGACACTCTACCCCTTGACGAGATAGACGTCTTCGGTGATCCGCCGATACTTCTACCTGAAGTACCGATGAGGGTGACGATTTCTTCAACATATATGACTAGATCTTCACCTGCAACGATCATAACTTGCCAGATATCTGATGATCTACCTCCAGCATCTCAACGCAGTGAACCAGGGGTACTCAACACTTCAGCGTTTGCGAACGCTACGTCTTAAGACAACCCAGAACTTCGACCCTGGCGAGTTTATGACACAGTTCACCAACCAGATGATGTCCATGATGGAGCGGAGGTTCGCGGAAGAAGCACATGCTCGGCGAAGCCTCTTAGCTGCAGGAGGGTTCGTGAACCCTCAGATCTGCGTGAAGATACAGGCCTCAGTCAACCCTCTACACAGACATCGGCAGTGAGAGATAACGTTCGCGAATGTACACCTCTGCGAACGTTCACTCAACAATCTACTTCTGTGAACCCTCAGTCATCTGCAGAGAGATCTTCAGACTCCAGACGCAGCAGAGCAGCGAGTTTGGACATCATCATCTTCAAGTCGCTCCAGATCTAGATCTCGCAGACGTTCGCGAAGCTATTCACTACATCATAGAGGTTCGCGAAGCTCACACCACAGAGCATCGCATGATCATAGATCATCCTACAATGGCAGCCTGCAGAGCAGACGTTCGCGAAAGCACAGCTCTCATTATTCGAAGTCACGAAGTAATGAATCGGCAGGGGAAGGTTCACGAAGGCACAGCTCTCCTTCCAAGGGTTCGCGAAAGGATGATGAGTCATCTAGAGGTTCGCTAACTCATCTTTCCCAAGATAAAGGTTCGCAAAGAGGGAAATCATCTGAGAAGGGTTCGCGAAAGGACAGCACACGAGGGAATGCAGATTCACAGGCATATGTACAGCGCAGTATCAGCTCTATTCAACAACCACTACAGGAGCAACAAGAAGACCTTGTGTTTCCTGATCCAGAGATTACAGCTGAATAGCTAACGGCCTGAATCTGCAGTCACCATCTAAAGATACAGACGACATCCTCTCCTATCAGATGCATGATGACAAACAAACGCAGACATCTACAGGGTTTGCGAATCCAAGGTTTAAGAACCTTAGGTCAACAGGCAGAATGTTTACGTAAACTCAACAAAAAGATCTACAACATGTGCGATCTCTACAGTTTGCAGCCTGCTCAACTCTACAACCGGTATGAACCTTACACCTGTATAGGTTCAGTTTTAAACGACAACCTACTTGATGAAAGAATCCCTTCATCTACACGGATGCGGAGATATATACTGGGTAGCAGATGGCCTGCGGAAATTGTCGTTCACTCACTCACTCCAACCCATCTGAGACGTACTGCATATATGCTGATGACTGTGACTTCAAGATGATATCACCTATCAAGCTGATATATCAAGTTTTGCAGATATACGTCTCGACAGCCTACTTCGTCATGCTGGCTTATATTATCTACAGTGGGAAGAGGTGATTTATATCACTGAACAAGAATTTACGCCTGGATCAACCCTTATTCAAGAGGTTTATGTGAGCGGCGTAGAGGTACGTGCGCTTTTACTCAACCAAGACTGGTGACGTCACGCTCGGAAGTTGATTGGTCCACGTCAGACAACGCCTCCCACTGACAGGGCAAGCAGCAGAAAGTTTACTGACTTGTAAACAAAGATGCGGTACGGGGGGATTACTTCATCGACAGCCATGTAAACAGTATACAACTACGGCCTGTTATCATCTGGGGAATCTGATAGATGTCTACCCTTTACAGCAGCATAAACAAGATATATTTTGGAAGTTGTTGCTGAGGAAAGTCGGCATGAGTGCCTGTCCCCGGCGAGGCTACACTGCACCCAGCTGTGCTATAAATAAACAACGCTTCGCAGTATGCTGATCAGCACAGATCGCCTCCGTATAGAGGGGAAGAATGATGTATCATCACTGCAATCCATGTACCAGCGCTATCTACAATCCTCGGCCCAGAGGATGTAGAAGATTTATCATTGTGTCCAGTCAGAGCTCTGAAGATATATCTTCAAAGGACTAAGACAAGGAGGCAAAAAGTTCAAGCGCGCCTATTCATCCCGTTATCTACAGAGACAATGACAGAGGTCTCGAGAATGATATTGTTTTGGATGAGAGACGTCATACTGAGAGCCTATAAAGCAGCAGGACTAGAACCTCCTAGAGCTTCCAACCCACACGAAGTTAGAGCACTGGCGTCAACACTAGCTCTACATGGAAATTGCTCTATACCGACAATAATGGAGGGCTGCTTCTGGAAGTCGGACACGGTGTTTGCCAACCACTACCTCCGAGACATAGCCACTGAAGACGTCTGAGGCATTCACCAATTTGGGCCTCTCGTTGTAGCACAGCTACTAACGGTTCCTCAAAGGCGCTGAGTTGAAATCTCACCCTTTATCACGTTGACTTGTAGATGACTTTTACTAGGAAAAGTATTAGTTTGAAAGTCCATGCGCAAAGTCTAGGACAGACTAGCATGAGTGATTAAGATCCTGTGCGGGTAATAACCTTACCTGCACATAAAGGGATCGCAACTCATTTATGATAAAGACCTTATCATAATCCATGGGTTGTTATAAGATATCTAGTACAGGAGAATACTAGTATATCTATAACCACACGAATCAACATGATTCAACTTGTCTGAGATTGAAGTAAGACAAGGAGTGGACCCCCCGAGTTACTACGCAAGTTGGAAGAGTAGGACCACAGAAATGCCGTTTGCAGTTCCCATAGGGGGGATACAGGACGTATCTAAGGACAGCTGTTGAATCCATTGGCTTGACCCACTACCAATGCCAACGGATTCTATAAGCAAAGATCATGAGTCAGGATAAGGAAAAATATGTAATTTTTTAAGTAAAATTGATATTTTATACTTATCCTGACTCATGACGAACAAGCCCTCCCAGCCTCCCCGTTGAAGACACTTGAGATTTCACAGCAGATCCAAGTGCATGGGCAGAAAATCAGGAGAGTGACAAGTAAGGCGCGTCACATGACTGGTTTGCGCGGGAGAGGGCAAAGGGAGGTAACTCGTGGGTGAGTATTGTACGTCTGCTTCGGGAACTTCAAGGGATTCAAGTGTCCCACTACCATTCGAAAGGGAAAGGGAGATAAGCAAAGATCATGAGTCAGGATAAGTATAAAATATCAATTTTACTTAAATAATTACATTTTTTTTTTTCGTGTGAATTGACTTGCTTTTTTGCATGTGTAAATTCTGGGTGGTGCTACTGATGAACCAAGACATGCTCACCTTTTTGCGAACACATGGTATGATCACAGCTTGATAAAGATTCATACACAGATGATGTTTAGTCATATGGACTCCTTTTCTCATGAAAGATTATTACGTTTTATTGAAATTTTTTCATCGCTTATGTTTTCAGTGCAATGAAAGTAAAAGTATAATTACAAACTTATGCATTACAAATAAAATAATTTTCTATCTCAACCTTTAAGATTTCAGTAAGATAACAAATTCACAAAGTTATCTTAAAAAATGGCTGCTTGGTGGCAAAGACCTAATATTATCCCAAATGGATGTTTTACAACATCAAATGTCAACTTTCCTGGAACAGATTCAGAAAGTGTGGTATGATCTTAATTGCAGCCATTAATGTATGAAGAGTGGAGATGTCGCCATTTTGAATTTTCTCTCGTTCCTGCTCCCGAATAAACTGTTCTACTAATGCTTTTAAGTATATCAGCCGTTCCTTTTTCACCCTGTCTTCAGCTTGCTCCCTCTCTGCTTTAATTTTCGTGATGTTCTCCTCATCACGGGCCAATTCGATATGCATCCTCATTCGTTCTTCCCCCTTAGCATTTTGAATTTGCTGTTTTGTTTCTTCTGTTTTAACCAATATTTTCGCCTCCTTCTCCAACATATCAGCTAAAGTATTTTCTGTATCTGCGTCAGTTTGCCTCTCCTGTCTGATTGCCTCCCTTTCTTTCTTCATCGCCTCTACATCTTGGGGCGCTGCCTTCAGAAGTTCCTGGCAGAATTCTTTTTCCCTTTTCATCTTTTCTTCCACATCCTCTTTTAGCTGTTCTTGTACTACATCCTCATATATGTTCTCATATTCTTCCCTCTGTCTGCTATTGATTGTTTCCTTCATCAGTCCCTCTCCCTGCTGATACATTGTGGAAGAGAAAGGGGTTTTGTTTGTGGCCATCATCTCATCAATGCGAGAAAAAAGAGCCTTGACATCCGTTTCTTTCTCCTCATTTGTTCCTTTGTTGTTGAAGCAAAGATAACCGCCGCCTGCGCTTTCGATTAACTGCTTGAGGCACTCAGGGGCTTCCAAAAGTAACTCGGATACTTCGGTATTCGGGGTAATCTGATCCCTACATGTGAAGACAACAATCAAGTGCCTTGTCATGCCCTTCCCAAACATGCCTTCTATTTCTTTGAAAACTTTCTCTTCCTCGTCGGTGAATCTCTGCGTTAAGGTCGTGACCAACAGGAAGGCATGCGGGCCAGGTGAGGACACTCCAATGCTTTTCTTGATCTCAGTCTCCACCACATCTTTCTTCATATTCGTGTCAAGCAGACCTGGCGTGTCTACTAACTGAACCATTCGGCCAAAGCGTTCAGCGCATACATACTCGCATATCTTTGTGACAGATGCAAGCGATCTCTTGGAAGCAAAGTTCTCCTTATCTATTATCGTATTTGCTGTAGCGCTCTTCCCACCGCCAGTTCTACCAATCAACACCAACCTGAGATCCTCCTTTGTATCTGTAAATACACATAACATCTATGTTATTTCATATATATTTTTAATTCGGAGGGATAAAATACATGTCTGGGACCAAGCTGGTTCTAGGAAACTCACAGTATAAACCGCTCTTCCTGTCTTGATATGCTTTATAATCGGTTAAAATCTTTAAAGGGCCACTGATGCAGAGCAATTTCCGTGGACTGGTTGTTGCTTTTGTTATTGTTTTTCTCCCGTGAGTACCCGGATGATATCCCAGAATTCATGACTGGTTCATTACCCCTTCCTCCGCCACCCTCATGCGCAACTGATAGTATAGGTATAGACTGATCAAAGAAGATGAAATCTTTTTACTCGATAATCTTGATTTTGTTGTAAATTTATGTTGACTGCATGTGATGAATAATTTGGTTTCTTATAAAAAAATATTCATATATTCATATATTGATAAAAATGCTGATTTTGATGTACAATTTTGATTTCAAAGTAATGTTGACTTTATAAAAATGTTAACGTAAATGTATGTAAAATTTGATTTAAGAAATAGTTTGACCTTGAATTTGGTGAGAAGCCTGATATAATAGCATTGTTTGAAAGTAAGGCTAACTAAACACATGGAGAGTCTTGGGGAGAGTAGTGAGCTTGGGTTCACTACCAGTCAATCTGAATGTTTATTAAATGGCAATATCTTGCAAACAAATGAAAACATTTTAAGTTTAACCATCTGCCAGTGGTCAAAAAGTTTAGGACTGAAATAACGAAGTCAATGTTCATCTTTATATTTTGTCTTATAATCCTAATTAGTTTATTATCATATTTGTATGCATTTTAAAACTTAATAAAATGCACACGATCTGCTTATACTTAGTGAATTTATAACATGACTGTAATATCTAGACATCTTATAGATTGCCAACGTGTATCATATTTCACACACACACCCTTAGTGCGACCTAGTGTATGTTGTCTGTCTCATTACACTTCACGGCAAAAAAATGATTCTGTTGAATGCCATAACAAACAAATTAAAACAAAATGCAAATATTAAAATTTAAAACAGACTAAAGTTATAGCAACGATATCAGGCTATTACCTTGTTCGGGGAAATATCCATCAATATCCACATAAAGGAATGAGATGCCATTCATCTGCAGCTGACAAAGAATCCTGTTCCATGTCATGTGTCTTTTAGCAGTCTAATATGCGAAAAGGTGATCTATCGTTTCAGGTTTTTCACATTGGTATTATCCTATTGGTCCGCCATTCTTTAAAAAGTAATTTAGTTAGCCAATAATGAGCAATCAATCAATATATTGGCGGTTAATCCTTTGAAGGAAGGACGTTGTTTTTACAAAGAGACTTTACGACAGGGTGTATTCAGTATAGATTAGTAAATATACATCCATAAATACTACCTTTTGACAAATCCGCTGTGCAGGATAAGAGTAATTAATCAATCAACGTATTATCGGTTAATCCTTTGATCGATGTTTGTTTTGAAACTCAGCTGATAATTCCTCTTGCTGCACTTCCATGCGCATATTACATAAGATGTAATACATTTGCCACATCAGACCTCAATTTCTAATGATGAGTATTTACTCCAGACACAAGAAATGCCAAATGGGAACCTTTGTCGGGTAATCTGAGTGGTGTTATCACTAATTATACCTGTTATAAATTCATTAACTGACCATTAAGTGAATGATGACAAATAACCTGTAGGTTTACCACCAAACCAGGGTTACAGCAAGAGAGTAGTAATCGCCATATTGCATGCAAGTTTGATTGCCTGAAAAAAACCTTATGGGTCGACACTGTTTTGAGGATACGAACGGATCGAACTTCATTGTTGCATAAGAAATATATATAAGCATTTGCTGTGTACTTCGTTAAAAACTGTATATACCTTAGTACCTAAGTAAAATTTCAGATTTTATTTAGCAATGGCAAAGTGAGGTTGTTTAGTTTATGGATTCAAATGTATCAAATGTGTGTTTTTGATATCATAGCATATGTAATTGACATCATATTTTTACATGATTAAATATCGAGGTAAAAAACACAGAAATAGGATCAAATTGGATCAGTCACTATACCATCCAAACATTTGAAAATCTGCATAAGCGTACACTGCCTGGGATACTTTATTACAATCAGACAAGAACTGTAGGGGATATTTTCAAATAACGGCATCTTATGGGCATCCACCCTTATTATCATTGGGGGTCATTCTCACTTACCCAGCACCTTTTGTTTTTTAGCATAACTATTAATCCCCTAAGCTGCTGGGTGAACGAGAATGCCCTTTCCTAATGTCCCACTGATTAGATTGAAGAAATTCTGCCACAGTGGACAGCAGCCCAGTCCCTGTGTCCGTCACGGTCGAGGGAGCAGGGGCTGACCAATTTGCAGCTAGTTTTCGTAATTAGACTGTTGGCTGGAAACATTAATCGCTCTGCATCAGTGGCCCTTTAAATTCCAATCATATGGAATTTGGAAAAGCAAGTAAAAATTGCCACCAATGAAATATGTAGGCTTATTGTTATCCAAGCGAGGATTCAATGATTGTGATATCGAATGTGTGGCAAGTGAACGGTGTGTGTGGTCTGCATCAATGGGACTCGATTCCAGCTTAGGGACTGGACCGTTCATAATTTATCACTCTTTTTCTCTGTGTGTGTGTGTGTGTGAGGGGGTGGGGGTGTATGATGATTTTTATGGGGCAGCATGCAGAATGTGAATGACCCTTTCCCCTTAAATATATGTACAAAGTATATAGGATGTCGTTTACAAAAATCAATGAAACCCCTACAACTTCATGTGTACAAATTTGATGACACACCCACACACACACCCACACCCTTCCCCAGGTCTCTTATATCTCTAAAATTGCACCCGGTGGCGTATAGACATGGCCATTGTAACATTGTGATAAGCAACAAAAACAATCTGTATCACACTTACATAATCAGATTCAGGCGAAATATATTAACCATCTGAATACACCTAAACAGCCCGCATCATATAGGAGCAAAGGAGGTCAACACGGGTCTCGTGGGCCAATACAGGATTTCATTCCGTTTTACACCATTTAAAATTGATTTGTCATATTCTTTTAGACAATAAGAATTTATAGAAGCAATGAATCAAAGTAACACAAAATCCCAGCCATGAACTTCCATTAAACCTCCCCTGTACATACAACTGTGAAGATCCGAGTTAGAACTGATCTTCAGCAACCCATGCCTGTCACAAGAGGCGACAAACGGGATCGGGTGGTCAGTCTCGCTGCCTTGCTTGATGCATGTCATCGTATCCCAGTTGTGCAGACCAATGCTCATGATGTCAATCGGGCAGCGGGGTAGCCTAGTGGTAAAGCGTTCGCTCATCACGCCAAAAACCCGGGTTCGATTCCCCACGTGGGTACAATGTGTTAAGCCCATTCCCCGCCGCAATATTGCTGGAATATTGCTGAAAGTGGCGTAAAACCAAATTCACTCACTCATTCCCTCGTGATGTCAATCACTGGATTGTCTGGTAGAGGCTCGATTATTTTAAAGACTGACATCGTATATCTTGGAGATTGCTGAGTACAGCGTTAAACGAGCAAAAACATTGCTGGTACTGGCAAGGAATTAACGGATTTGGACTGATTGAGATGTGTTTGTTTAATGAGGAAGACGCTCTACCCTGTACACCTCATTTACGGCTTGAAAATGATATCGAAAATACCAACCCTTTTTAACAAAGTCTCGTGGAACTGGGCCCACAAAAGGCTTCAACTCCGCCTTCTTGCATTTCAAACAATGGCGAATGTTCGGATCTAGTGGCGAATTGCACTTCTGGCATGATGGTGGAGCTGAAAGATAATAACTAGCTATTTATGTTTTCATTATCATCGGAAAAAAACAACGGGATATACGGACGTTTACAAATTTATCAATACCAGCGTTGATTAATAATCCATTTTAAGTATTAGATATACCCACACTTACCTCGGTGTGTCGCTCAATACCCCTACTGTTTGAGTCGTGTGGGCGCCTCGGAGGCCACACGACTCAAACAGTAGGGTATTGAGCGACACACCGAGGTAAGTGTGGGTACATCTGACTTATACCTCACTTCTGGTCGAGTTACGAGTTTACTATAACACTTTATATTCTAAGAATGACAAAAATGTATTTGTTTTCCATCTGTTTCATTTATTTTTAGCCCACTGGTTAAGACCCTCAAATGTCCCGCGTCTATAGTCTGTTTGCAGTGAAGACGTATCGATCAATTTCACTTTAAACGAAAAAGTAATCAAATAAAGTGAAATTAAGATTGCGAATCTCATAATTTGACCTTGCCAAATGAACATCTCAGAATTATATTCAACTTAGAATAAAATTTGTTTAACAAATGATCATAGTTTCAAATCAATATTATTGGTTTGTATTATAATTTTAAGGGGGTAAGCGCAGTAGTTGGAACAGTGAAACAAATGCCCGTGCGGTACGTAATGAGCGTTAACTTCGACCAAACCTACATGTTCTCGGTGTTTCATTTAATGCGCATACCCCCTTGTAATACAAACCAATAACAGCGCTTTGAAACTATGATCGTTTGTTAAACAACTTTTATCCTAAGCTGAATATAATTATGAGATTTAAATGTTCATTAGGCAAGGTAAAATTATGGGATTTGCAATCTTAGTTTCACTTTATTTGATTTACTTTTTTAAAGTGATATTCATCGGTACGTTTTCACTGCAAACAGACTATAAGCAGTCGATTGCACGTGCATGCACGGGCTTGCACGATTTCACACGATTTTAAAAACCAGATCGGGCGCGAGAATGATTTCAAGTAGCCCAAAATATGCGCAATATTACTGATAATTGACAATTGTATGGGCAGACCAATGCGCATGCGTTCTCTACTCGCATGTGGCATAGAAAACATTTGGAAAATCACACGTTCGTCGGCCATGGATGCTGAAGAGTGGACAGAGGATTTTCTTTCTCAAATTGACAGTTCGTTAGCGTCACATTTCGACCTGGATGATAAGGAAGATTTTAAGTTAACGACTGATCAAGACAACCGCCGTTTTGGTGAGCTCGTCAATGAAAATGAATTTCGACAATTTGAGAAAAAGTGTAGGTGTATCATTGATACACCTACATTTTTGACAGGTGTACGGGTCAATACACCTACACTTTTAACAAAGGAAACAATGGTAACGAGACCGGAAGTGGGGTATAATCGTTGATACACACTGCCTTTCAGAAGGTGAGGTGAAATTGGGTTTTACGTCGTGCTTGAGAATATTTCACTCATATGACGATGTGCATGCATGTGTATGTATATGTGTGGCTGCTTGTACAAGCCCAGACTGAAGCTGGTTTTATAGTGCTAGCCCACTGAGATACCATGCCGCAGTGAAGCATGAATACCCCACTCAGACACATTATACTGACTCCGAGCCGACCAGTCCTTGTTGTACCCATTAATGCCGAGCGCCAGGCAGGGACCAACAAGTACCATATTTTAACGTCTTTTGGTTTGACGCGCTCGGGGATCGAACCCGCGACCTTCCGCTCTCCGGGCAGACGCTCTAACCACTACACCACGGAGGCGATCGCCTTTCAGAAAGTGGTCAAATGCAACGAATGTTATATTTTGGATAACACTTTTGAAGTAGAGTAAAGTAAAATTCAAATTCTAGTACTTTTATTCAGTTGAATCCGAGATTCGAACACGCACTCTTAATGTGAAGCACTTAATCCTCAGCAGGCAAGGTCAGAGATCAAACCTACATAGCCAGGATAGCTTTCACACAGGTGATAGTTTAAATCACAAGGTATATTTGTTATCGTAATGCAAACAATTGACATCAAGGTATGTTTTGCCACTGACGGGGTCACATAAACCTATATACCCTTTAGATAGTGCTTAGAACCCGTCACTGACAACTTGGGCTTTCACAGATCATGTACTTTGTGTACCCTCTTGATACCTATAAATTGGCACATTTGAGCACGTTCTGAAAAGGCATTGTGTATCCATAGCGTTCGTGCCAATTAACACGCATCAAAGATGTACACAAAGTACGTGATCTGGATGGAGTGAGTTAGTTTAATTTTACACCGCTTTTAGCAATATTCCAGCAATATCACGGAGGGGGACACGAGAAATGGGGATCTGGATAAAAGATTAAACCGAAAATCAGCCATCTCAGAAGACATAACCCACTGTCCTAATCACAACATCAAATGGGATGATGTTGAAATTTTATCAAAAATCCTCCAGGACTTCACCAAAAGAAAACTGGCAGAAGCAGTTCAAATCCGCCAAAACAAGCCCTCAATCAACAGAGACCAAGGATACCTCATTCCATCTGCCTACAATGAACTGATAAAAACTACAGAACAGAGCACTCCAGCCATCATTGCTACTGCATTTTTACCTATTCCATTGTTGCTGTTGTTAATCCCATTGATGCATTCCTTCATGTTGTCTTACTTAATCCCTGTCACATGTATATAAGTCGGATGTGTCCCGTATTACTATACTCTTGCTTGACAACGGTATAGGAAGCTATACCGAAACGTCGCATCATAATAAAATAAAGAAGTTGTTATCCTTAAAGTATTTACTTTTCTTATAATTGTATTCAAAAAGTAACTACGCTTACGGTTGAAATGAACACAAATCACTATGGAAATCCCAAATACATTGGCAGCAGAAAGTCAAAGGCAACGCGTTGCATTATATTGTTCTCCCAACTTCCTGTCGAAAATGTTTTGATTTTGGCACATGAAACTCATTTAACAGGTAATTTGGGTGTGGACAAACATCAAACAGAACTTTGTCCCATCACTTTTGGCCCAATTTGTTTCATGATGCGCTTGAATTTTGCAAAACCTGCCATGTAAGCCAGGTGGTTACAAACCAAATCAAGAAATACCATCCTCACCATTGAAACGTTTTCGAGCTTTTTCTCAGCAGGGCCATCGTTGATTGCTTACTATCATGTGTGTTTTGACGAGGTTTCAATTGTAATATTGAATCCATTACGGGATATTACAGCTTAGGTCACCAAAGCTTTGGTGAAGTTCGTCCCTCTATTTGGTTTGCCAAGGCTATACCAACAGTTCATGGCTCCAATTTCATGTCAGGTGTATTCCGGTCTATGCATCAGTTGGGCATTACTCAGGTTAAGTCCATTGCATATCATCTTGAAACACAGGAGGATCTGGAAATATTTCCTCAGTTACGCAATTCTTAAGTTGTACTTAACTTGAATGGTAAGCTAGGTCATTTATCAAGAGTTCGTTCACTTGGTTTATACCTGGCTCTACAGATATATAGTGTCATGATGTCGATGATGACGCTGCGCCTGGGAAACAATTACCGAATGAATCCAGTCAAGCTTGAAGCCTTGACGAAGGAAAGTCAATACATGCTGGACACTGACATTCAACCTAGTCAAAGTGACTGGAATTCACCTTGTATTCCAAAACCTGGTTGGAGTTACAGATACTGTACCGACATGCAATATGAGAAAGATGCTTCTAAAAACTCTTACTCAGTACCAAGATTCGATGACTGTATTGACAGAATCGCTCAAACCAAGTTGGTCAGCAAGTTTGCCTTAACGAATGTGTATTGGCAGATTCTAGTGATGGATCGTGCCAAGCGGGTTTCGTGATTCCAGATGGGCTGTATTAATACACAGTTTGGGCTCACTCATTCAATGGAATGGGAGCACCACCTGAAGAGGATCGTGCATTCTTCTTCTTCTTCTTCTTCTTCTTCTTCTTCTTCTTCAAATACAATTGCCATGTCAAAGGCCAAGGTCAGGAACAGCTGATTCAAGCGAAGGGGTAATCAATTTTCGAAATTGTCTGTTCCCTAAAGCGAACAGGAACTTATGAAAATTTCTTGACAATTCTGGTTACTACCAGACACATGTCACAATTTCTCACATTAATTTGCTGGTCTACTTGAGATGTCATGTGAGATGAGACGCAAGGGTAAACTACCCTCATATACCTTAGAAAAAGAATCCAGAAAATTCTCCAAATCCCAGGGCGAGAACATAGGGTGGCATTACTCTGTAGTACCTTCCAGAACTGTCAAAATATAGAACCCCACTGCCCTCACTGAATATCACATGTACAGTGTATTACACGTGGAACATTGCTACACAATAAATATCACTGTCACATGAAACCTATCTACAGTGGGTCTGTCATATCGATTGGAGTCCCTGCACAATCAGTGATAACGCTATCGTAGTGTACCGAGAATTACTGTTCAGAACTCAGTCTTTGTTTGCTAACATGCCACAGGAGCACTGCTGTTCTAGGCCAGACAATAAAGACTAACAGTTTCATGTAATGTATGTGTGTGGCGGGGCTACCATAGGGCGGTACGTCTGTACCTTTTTTCGCGAACACCAGGCCCCGATTTCTCGAAACAAACTTAAGTTTTTACTCAAATTTCAAACTGAGTTGGACAATTTGAAACAGATGAATTTTTAACTCAACTGCATTTTTTGAATAAAAAAGCCCAAAACAACTTAAGTAATCTGTCCACCAAACTCAAATTGTCTGCTATGTTTGAGTTTAATATCGATTTTAGTTCATTCTTGGAAATGCATTTTCTCAAATTTGAGTAAAAACTCCAACTTAAGTCGAAACTCAGACTTAAGTTTGTTTCGAGAAATCGGGGCCAGGTGTCCTAACTAATTTTGCATGATCTATTCATATATACTGAGTCAAAAAAGAAACTTCACAAAATGTAATTTGAAAAATAATGAATAATTTTTCTCTGATGATACATCTATGTATCCGAAATGGGATCCCTATCTTTCGACTCTAGAAAAACGTTAGCAAAACCCACTCAAATCCATCCATTCCTCGTGCAAATGACGTTAGTGCCAAATCAGGTTTTGCACGTGCAGTCGATCACGTGATCTTCGCATCGAAGTTTTCCTCATATGTACGTGTTTGCATTGGCCCCAAGAATTGAAAAAAACACTTTTAAACCACAGTTCTAACGGTACTTGAAATGCCACGATTGTCAAATGTGCAACGTGAACGTGCCGTTGGCATGTTGCAAGCGGGAAAATCAGTTATTGACGTCACAAGAGCAATGGGATGCAGCCGTCGTACTGTGTATGACATGCGAGGTCGTCTACAACAAACTGGCACCACTTCTGATCGCCCAAGGTCGGGTCGTCCACGTGTGACGTCACGAGCAGAAGACCGTCAAATCGTCCTACGTCACCTACGTGACAGATTTCTGCTGGCTACACGAACCAGGGCTGAGATGTTTAGAGGTCGACTGTCCTCACAGACCATTCGAAATCGGTTGCGGGCTGCCAATCTCCATTCTCGACGTCCATATCGTGGGCCAATATTGACGCTGTTTCATCAACGTCAACGTCTGCTGTGGGCCCAACGTCACCTCCGATGGACCCAGAGAGACTGGAATCGAGTCGTCTTTAGCGATGAATCCAGGTTTACTCTCAGATTCGCGGACGGCAGGCATAGAGTCTGGAGACGACGTCGTGAACGGTATGCCCAATGTTGTGTACAGGAAGTCGACAGATTCGGGGGCGGAAGTTGCATGGTGTGGGGTGCTTTCTGTGGGAACAACCGTTCCCGACTTCTGGTCATCCGTGGAAACCTCACAGCTGCTGCTTACCGCGACCAGGTGCTCACCCCTGAACTCGTTCCTTTCATGGCGGCTCATGGCCCAGGTCTACAGTTCCAGTATGATAATGCTCTGCCGCATACCGCGATGTTGACACGAAATTTCCTTCAAAACGCTGGATTCAACGTCATGGACTGGCCATCGAGGTCCCCTGACCTTATTCCAATAGAGCACGTTTGGGATGCACATGGGAGGAGGCTTCGTGGTCTTAGGAACCAACCTCAGAATTTGCAGGAACTTGGCGCTGCCTTGCAAGAGCAATGGCGCAGAATCCCCAACCACGTGTTCACAAGCATCAGGCAGTCGATGAGGAGACGGTGTTTGGCAGTGGTGAATGCGCGGGGCGGCCATACACGATATTGAACTGAGAAATTTCGCATTTTTATTCTTGTGACTTGACATTCTGTATACCCATGTTTTGGAACGGCGGTGTAGCCTAATGGAACTGATTATGGCACTGTCAGTGTATCGAGTACATCACACAGATCTCAGCAATGAAATAATAACAATTTAACCATCTTACCATCTCTTGTTCTTTTATAGTGCCCTGAAGAAAGAATGTGAAGTTTCTTTTTTGACTCAAGTTTTCTTCTCTAGTTTGCCCTTTGGAACCGTTCATGATTTATGGCCTGGGGTGTTGGGTATGTGCGTGTGTGTGATGATGATTTTAAAGGGGGGTTACCAATTTGGTTCTGGGAGGTAGGGGAGCAATCAAGTTTGTACCATAAATTGGGGCATGCAGGGGGGTCACTTACTTTATACATTAACTTTAGGGGGGATTATCCACATCGTACATGCTTCCGCATAAAAATCATCATCATCATCAACCCACCGCACCCCTCCCCCCGTCCATAAATTATGAACGATCCCTTTCTCTATAGTATCTGCAATATCAGAATAACCTCGACTGGTTATTCACTGGTTTCTGCGTTATAATTAAAGGTAACAACATCCTGATTATTTTATACTGGTATGTCGACTATTTTCTTTCACTCGGGGGAGTTTAACCCTTAGATACCTTACTATGCTGAAATATCGTCATATAACCATCAAATAACCATATGTAAAGGGGTACATGGACTTTTATAAATAACGATCTTGACGGGAGAATAAGCCAAACTGGACAAAAGTTAAGTCAACAAACTGTATATTATTTGTTTGTAAACTCATAATAACAATTACCTGAATCACACAAATATAATGTCTCAGTTTCGACCTCGACATAATTCAGTGTGTAATTCATGCAACCATTAATGAACGACTGATTTGGCCTTTGGCCCATATTCACAACATGCTTGTTAGTTTACAGTATCGATTAGCTTACCGATGATCAATATTTGTTGAAGTTAAAATAAGTTCATCATTCACATCATCTAATCGTCAGTCACATGTTGTAAATAACGGAGCTCATTGGTTACAGGTTCAGAGCTAAATTACATTGAAAACAGCATGAGGCATATGAGGTAGTTCACTTGTAGTTGACCTTCATTATCGATCAGATTGTCTTCACATGGTGGTGGCATTTTCTTTTATGTAAATGCACGTGATGTGAGAAGTGGAATTTGATTGGTCAGTAGGATGGACAATGTAAGGAACATAACACGTAATAGCCACTTCTGGCAGTAGGGACCAGCTAAGAAAATCAAGCCTAGTTCGGCAAGGTTGGAAAGTGGCGATATGAGCTGCTTAACGCCCTACCCAAATACAATATTATGGAATCCTAGAAGGCACATTGTCGAGTTGTCGCCCTCACAAAAACAAGCAAAAAGTGGCCAAATTTACCAAAGCGCGACAATGCGACAACACCACGTTTTGGCCATTTGTCGCATTGTCCCTTTGTCGCATTGTCGCGCTTTAATCAATATTTTATTATTCACCCAAAGAGCGACAATGTGACAGAGTGACAATGTCCCTTCTAGGATTCCATACAATATGGATACCGTTACTTTCATTCAACGTTACTTACCTAGAACAGGATTTTGAGGCCTATTATCCACTATCCTTGCCGTTCCACAGCTTGCACAAACTGCGTCATTTCTATCATTATTATGGAAGCACTTTCTGCAGACCCACACTGGAATATATGGACATTGTATAATTGCCATATTAAATCATCATAATTACAAATCAGGGAGGTCTGAAATGATCGTTCAAAACATATATAGATCTAGATCGATGTATATGATATAGACCTTTGAATTTTTAATGTTAATTATGATTATAAATTAGAATATTGATTTTATGATTATAGGTTCAGGTTTTAAGGTATTATGTTAAACCATCTACAAGAACATAATGAAAATATAACGTGCTGCAATGAAATTACGATAGTGTATGATGGAAAATTAACTTAGAATCTTGAAAGTTCAATATACTACATTTCGAATATTCATTTAAAGCAGTGTGTACTTGCTAACGGTTTATATGACATGTTCCCGTTACGTGCAAGTATATTACCCCGGTGTCCTCCCAAAACGCCTATACATGCCTAAACAGGTTTTGCCGAACGCTTTTGTTCTTGATAAAATGATCACTGATGCGCGATAATCCCTTAAACAATTCAAGAGACAACTCCCAGCACTGCAAGACGATCATCCATGGCACGATACAGCTTCTTTCTGGGGCGTCTGGAACCGCCATTCTGCAGCTGAGAAATTGTGATTTCCACTCTGGAGTTCTTTTTTAGAAGGTCCACAAACTTGAACAAGCTGGGCAACCTGTCTTACAACATTTCCAATGAACTCGGTCCCTTTTTGTGTTCTTAACCCTAAACTTGTGACCTAGATAGATTAAGTGTCTACTTCCCCGTGAATTGACTGACTGACTGAGTGAGTTTGGTTTTACGCCGCTTTTAGCAATATTCCAGCAACATCACGGCGGGGGACACCAGAAATGGGCTTCACACATTGTACCCATGTGGGGATTCGAACCCGGGTCTTCGGCGTGACGAGCCAACGCTTTAACCACTAGGCTACCCCACCGCCGCTACCCTTGAATTGGGAAGGAACTGAATGTTAACTTGTGCGTTTGCCATTTTGCAATGAGGAAACTATGTCTACATTCTTTATATATCGATACAGTGATAGAAATAATCATTTGAATAAGTTTCACTCAATTTAGCTAATATAATTCGAGTTCACTCAATCGAGTACACTAATTACCGAGTTCGAACTCAGTCTGCCAAACTACTCACTGAAACACACTATAGCCGGCAAACGAGCGGCCGTTACTCTTAATCCGTGATCATCACTGTGTCCTCCCATAGGACCGGCGTCTGCAGTGGGAAGGGGGGAGGCTGGTGGGACTGGACTGCCTCATAGGACCGGCGTCTGTAGGGGAAGGGGAAGGCTGGTGGGACTGGACTGCCTCATAGGCCTAAATAGGCCGGACTCATTGTGCCACATTGTATTAAACAATTTTTCTTCTTTCTTTCTTTCTTTCCTAATTTCTCCCCACAAGGTGCTAAAGCACAGTTAGGTGATGTGGGTATGTCATGCTTGGATGATTATGTGGGTATTAATCGGTTTAAGAAATTAGACGATCTGGGTGTACTCCATCATCACATCAGCTGTCCGGCAAAGCGAGGTATATAACCGCCTAAACACCCTCACCTTATAACAACAAAGTTCACAGTTGAATGCACACCCAATCCCTTGCCTGTTTCCTTTTTCATTTTAATGGAATAACCCCAAGAATATTTATAGCCGGATGTTGGGGAAAACAGGTCTTTGGGGTGCGAAATGGGATCATGATAAGGATCCCGGCACGACAATGCAGAGCAAATTGCGTCGTCTTTAACGTCCTGTCCTTTGAGTTCCAACTGCAGACGATACATATTGATGAGAAAATATAAAAGTAAATCGTTGAGGCTTACTTTTGTTCCAATGAAATCCAGCTGAATATATCTGGTAATGTCACTCTTCTGAAACATACATGAAAAGCTGTATGCCTAACATACATATATTCAAATGTCTAAAACAATGTCCTCTTCCTGGTCTGTATTGTGGGTGGTTATTCCAACATTAATTCGATTTTATCACGTCGTGCTGTAAAGAGTGCCATGGTATTTTACACGTTTACAAATTTGATGAATCCCACGAGCACGGGAATGGTGCTGGGACATTAAGAAAATATTCAAGACGAATTATGATTAAGTTTTTCGATAACTGGTTGATGGTACATATCACTGCAAAGCGAACATCGCCACGTCGAGGGACTACTTTTCATACATAGATACAAAGTTAAGCAATTTTTCATACCCTTGTAAAATTTGTTAAAAAGATACAAAAGCTGTTCATTTATATAGTAAGCAAAAAGCAGCTATGTGAAATTTTACCTATAAGTGGCTGATTTGTCTGTGGCGTGGCTTGCGACCTGATCCGTTAGGTTCGTGCAAATGCAGACAACGCAGCTCTGTTATCGCAAATATATATGGTGCAGTGTTATGGACATATTCGCGAATTGGCAGTCTCGACAAACTGTAGATGCAGTGGGGAATCCGAGTGGTTAAAGCGTTCGCTCGTCACGTCGAAGACCCGGGTTCGATTCCCCACATGGGTACAATGTGTGAAGCCTATTTCTGGTGTCCCCCGTCGTTATGACAGACAGACAGACAGACAGATAAAGTTTATTAAAGTGTCACGTGAACGATTACATGAAATAAAATACACAATAGACGCGGTAGAATATCGTTCACCCAGCCAATAAGGCTTATGAGACACAATACACCATTTAAAAACTATGTACATTTCGTAAGGTATAAGAAGTAGTTTAAATGGATAATAATTTTTACAGGAATAGGAGTCGTCTTCTAAACATGTTATTCACAGTGGTTGAAAAAATTAGCGGGTCTGACAACATTAAAATACTTAATAAATGTACATTGTTATCATAATTAAAATCTGCATTTATAAAATGATATCTAAGATCCAGGCAAAAATAACAATTCAAAAGAAAATGTATCTCGTCTTCCACACAATTACAGAACGGACAAATTCTCTCACACAGAGGGGTGGGGGGTTTGCTGTAACGACCTGTTTTATACGTAATTATAGATTACCGCAGCGTAGTTTAGTCAGGTTACTTCTCTTAGCTCTGTTGATGATTTGTAGGTATAGCTGAGGATGTCGATCTTTCTTGAATAATCTGTACGTTCGAAGCTTATTTCCATTTAATTTGTTCTTGTCGTTCCACATTTCTGTAAACCACATTTCCTCACTAGTTTCATTAAAATACCTTTCATTGTCATCTTAACAGAGTCGACAGATGTTAAAATGGAGTACAACTTCACTCTTTTTTCCCGAGATGCTGTGCTGTGTAAGCAAAGAATCCCCTTTCTTTATAGACCAGTGGAAAAGTATATTTGGTAATCTGTTGGTAATATTGCTGGAATATTGCTAAAAGCGGCGTAAAACCATACATTGTGGGGAATCGAACCCGGGTCTTCAGCGTGACGAGCGAACGTTTGAACCACAAGGCTACCCCCACCTCCTCAAACAGTGAGAAGTAATTACCTCACGGTATTCCATAGATAAATCCTGACGTCAAACTAGGGCACCTAGGGGGTAACTGCAGATAATGTTCAAATCAGAATTAGCAATGTGTTCAAGGGGTACTAGGATTTATTCAGTTCAGTGTGAGACCCTAATACACAAATCATGAATCATACTAAAATAGTATGACAGATCAATGTGAGACACTCACTCACAAATCATGAGTCATTCTAACATAATATTATCTATAGTGTGAGACGAACGCTCTAGACAGATCTGGAGAATGACGATGAGAACGAGTAAGTGCTCCAGCCATGATCTGCGGATTATGGACCAACCAATGGGCGGCCCTCTGCATAACGATTAGCGGGTTCTAAAGACGCAGAACAAAATCAGTTAGTTTAGTTTAAACATATTTTATTCACAAAGTGAAAAGGATCGGGGACAAGTTCTTCCAACTCATGAGAATATTTACAATACCTCGCAAGCAATTAAATCATTGAAAACAGAACCAGAGGAAGGTTGACAGTTCAGGGGAAATATTATAATGCAAAAGGTACAAAGAAAGAAAACTACTGGAATCGGTTTGATTGGTTCACATACAGATGTACATTTTTCATTAAAATTTCATTTTTATGCAATGTCGTTAAAAGAACGGATTTTGTAATATGACATTAGTGTGTTTCTCTGTTCTGACGTGGGAATTCTTCAATGAACACATTTTCAAGCCAGAAGCACGTCGAAACAAATTTCGCATCTTACGCTCTGTGAGTGAGTGCGTGCGTGCGTGAGTGAGTATGTTTTTACGCCGCTTTTAGCAATATTCCAGCAAAATCAAGGCGAGGGACACCAGAAATGAGCTTCACACATTGTACCCATGTGGGGAATCGGACCCGGGTCTTCAGCGTGACGAGCGAACACTTTAATCACTAGGCTACCCCACCGCCTCTAACAGTGAGAAGAATTACCTCACGGTATTCCCTAGATAAATCCAGATTAGCATGCCTTTTCACAGGACGACACACTAGGGCATCCGGAAGGTAACTGCAGATAATGCATAGGCGTAGGAACAGTTTAAAAGTTGGGGGGCAAGATTTTCGAAATTGATAACGGGGTGGGGTGGGGGTGGGGGTGGAGTGAGGAGATATATGAAAAGGACAGACGAGTTCACTTGCTTTGCAATTTCTCCACAAAGAGTGTCCCAGCCCTTGTCTGCAGCTTTAGAATACTTCACAAGAAGGTCTTTATAATAACTTATTCTCTTTATATTTGGTCTTAAATATATGAAAAATAAGAAATTGGAGTCACTTTATGATAATCATATTTTGGGTGCTGACAAATAGAACAATAGGGTACTGAAAAACAATAGTTTTATACTATAAATATATTATAATTACATTCAATAACAAGGCAGAAGTGAGCACAGCTCACATACCCCCGCTTATAGTCTGATCGCCTTCAATACCATTATTGAATACCAAAATAATATTTTAGGAAAACTTTCAATTTTGGCATCATGCAATTGAAAGCCAAAACCCACAATGGCACCATAAGGGTAAGTTCCATGCCAAATTTGAAGTTTGTAAGTGGTATAGTTTTTGAGTTATGCTCAGAGAAACCATTCCGGACGGACGGACGCACGGACACACGGACGGACGGGCTGAGCGCTATATACCAGCGACTACGTCGTAGCGGGGGTATAATAATGCAGCCATTCTTATTTCATACATGAATTCGGCTTTCGGATAAAACCAGCTCTCTCACTGCCAATGTATGAGTTTGAAATCGTGTCTAATTGTTATTGTTTAGATTTTCAATAAATAAATCAAACAACACCTATTATACTTAAAATATGGCGATTACTGTAAACTAAATGTTACTGTATAGACTACACTGTAATGTCAATGTATGTTGTCAACTTACCGCTGATTCGAATCCATGTTGGCTGTTAATAACAGCCTGACTGCCTCTACTTTCACTTTTGAGTGACATGAATTAAAAATTTTGGATTCTATCATTAGCGGAAATTTTTTTTTTGATCATGTTATTTTTTCAACGTTACCAGAGGCTTGAATTTGTGTTTAATTCTCTATTATGGTCCCTAAAAAAATTTCCAGCTTGTAAAAATATTTTTTTCTGGGGGGGCAGCTGACCCCCCTGCCCCCCAGTTCCTACGCCTATGTAATGTTCAAATCAGAATTAGCAATGTGTTCAAGGGTACTAGGATCTATTCAGTTCAATGTTAGACGCTAATACTTGCCTATCCCACCGCCACTCTGTAAAGAAGACGTCAATAACATTTAAATCAACAACAGAACACTCAGAACATTACAAGTGTTTGACGTTTATAACCAAAAAACATCTTCCTCATACCAAATTCGTCTTACAGCCATGCATTTTAAAGTGAAAAAGATTCTTACAATTTTCTAATCATTTTTATGGTTTTGTTAGGGGGAAAGCTTTGTATACGTGTGTATGTGCATCCGAATGAATGTAAACTGACTGAAATCTCAGCTGGTGTTCGTGTTGCCATGGAAACTCAACAATTGTCACACCTCCTAGAGAACTCTCCCCGTTGTTCTGACGGTAACGATGGCCCGGACAGGTGATCAAGTGAAAGAACAATAATATCCTGACGACATGAAGCATGTTTCCCTAGATCTTTGCCTCAGATAAGATTTCTGTATCCAAGGAAATATCTACTGGTAAACCTGGTTTGAAGCTCAGCTACTTTCAGTCATGTTACGTCTAATGGAATCTATCTCGACGTATGTACTTATGTGAAACATTAGCTATATGCTCTCTTTTTTCATTCAGCTGACTAACGCTCTTCAGCCATGCGTTCTTTTGTGACAAAAGGTTACATCTATGTGGATGATATTGAATCCAAAATTCTTAATATTGTTTCATCTATACTTCCAAGTTACATTTCAAGTATTTTCCAAGTTCAAACTTCCAAGTTTACATTTGATAGTCTGGCGTAGCACAAGGGCATCTACCCACAACCTTCCTCCGCAATACAGGATCTTATCCCCAGAGAGTGTCCGTCATGGGCTTGGTCTGCAGTCACACAGGTAAGAACAGAGCATAACATTTACACGTATATTTGTAGATTAACTCTGATAATTTATTCTCTCTTTTTTTCAAATATTCTTGTTCTGTGCTTACTTCTGTTCTACATTTGGATCCTGATGTACAACATGTGACTGACTACTAGGTACTGTGGATGATAAACTCGTTAATTTCAACAATTATTGATGAAGGGTACTGCCATAAGAAACTCATACGTCATATAGTACGTACACAAAGGCAAAGTATCTGGTCATGTGAACGTATTTGTTGTGGGATATTAATAACCAGGGCCAGGATTTTGGAAGCTCTCTTAGCGCTACGATAGTCATAAATGCCATCCATTAACATTAACTTACAACTATCTTAGCGCTAAGAGAGCTTCCAAAATCCTGGCCCAGGATCATTTTGGCCAATAATCATACGTACCAATAAGTATCCAGACTTGAGGTAATCTGAAGCGTTTCAAATGAAAATACATAAAAAGAAAAAGTGTACTATTGAGATCTAGATTTCGAATAGATTTAAGCATCTTAAAGGGAATGAAAGTAAGAATCATTAATACTTGTAAAATGATAAAGCAATAACCAGTTGAATTTATGTTCATCTACATAACCATTTCGAAAACATTTCCAGTCCTTTCAAAACACACTTAAAGAAAAAGAGCGATGTTTGAAACATGGATTTCCAAATGATTATAAAGAACATGGTCAGTTACCGTTGCCTTATATTTAACTTATAAAATATAAAGAAATAGACTATGGCCTGTTTTCGACAAGCATGATACATCTGAGTAAACTAGGTGATTATGTCATGATACATGAATATACCGTAATTATGTGCATGAACAGCTCCCTCCGTAATCATGTACATATTGAATTGACTTCGTAATCATGTACATAAACATCCCCCTTCGTAATCATGTACATAAACATCCCCCACATGTCATCGGTTGTCAGTTGCGCAGATCGATGCTCATGCTGTTGATCACTGGATTGTCTGGTCCAGACTAAATTATTTACAGACCGCCGCCATATAGCTGGAATATTGCAGAGTGCGGCGTAAAACTAAACTCACTCACTCGTCATCATGTACATAAACAACACCCTTCGTAACCATGTGCATAAACAGTTCCCTTTGTTATCATGTACATAAACAACACCCTTCGTAATCATACACATGAACAGCTACCTTCGTAATCATGTGCACGTTCATAAACATAACCCTTGGTAACCATGTACATAAACAACACCCTTCGTAATCGAATAAATAGTCACAGCAAGAACCTTTGCGAAATGCCATTTCAAATTATGTTTAATTGGGATTTATATTTTCTTTTGCAATTGTGTGCAGGTCCGCACCAGGTGGTACCTCTTCAAGTCCGGACTCCGACCCCAAGGACAATGCCATCCTGCGGCACCATAGTCTCGATTAAATCGCAAAGACCTGTAAGTGAACACCTCTCATACACGAAACTGGAAGCTTCCATGCTGATGTACCCACAATGAAAGATCATGTACTCTCGGTAATGCAAACGACATTGGAGATGAATTTAACTTTTTGTTTATTTGCCCTACCTTGGCAAATAAAATATATCAACAACTATTTCTGTAGAGACCCGAATATGCACAAAATGAACTAGCTTTTACACTCTAACAAACTAGGCACAATTAGGAAATTAGCAACATTTTGCAAAATGATATCGTCTCATTTTAGGCAACGCCCCAACAAAAGGTAACCAACAACGCATGAGTGTAACATTGTTCATTTAACTGGGTAAATAAATGTACAGACAGTTTATTCTTGCAACCAAGCGATATGTATATATAACCACTTTATGTTTCATACATGCATTAAAGTTGTACATTATGATGTAAGCTTGTACCTCTAATGCTGCAGAACGTGGTCGGAGAATAAATCAAGTTCAGTTCTGTAGATACACCAAGGAGTGAGAATTAACTAACACTGATCGCTGGGAGTACTCCGATCGCTGTCCTCTCATTACTCATACGTTTAAAACAACACAAGTTATGGTTGACTGCTCCAGTAATCTTAACGTCGATGAATAATTGGTAATGAACTGATCCAACACATAAAATGAAAAGTCAAACCATTATTTTATGCCTCATAGCATACATTCACACGAGGAAGGAGTAATGATATACGCTGAAACTTGGGGTTCCTCGTAATACAAAAGGTGACATCCATAAAATTACCATTGGTACCCAGTCTATCCCTAGTTTCGCCTAACCCATCCCAATCTTTGTCGGCTATAATAAACTGTAAGGTTCACACCTTTCACAGGATGCCTTACCTTGTTTTAATAGCAGAAGCCAGAAGCAGACTTGAATCTATTACAGTGTGCAATATGAGTAATGAGACGATAATTTCAAGGTGTATTTTAGGCTTGTCGTGCTCAGGTCTCATTGCCACCCTCAACGATAGGGTCATTCTCGTTTACCCAGCAGCTTTTGTTCTGGAGCTTCGGCAACAGCTCAGAGCTGAAGATCAGATGACTCTTTGGTGTTGACTGTAGCACAACCGTCCTTCTGAGCACACTTCCAGTGGACAGAAGTTGCTCTCCTTGTCTTGATACCAAATCTACTACCTAAATATCAAGTAAATCTATGTCAACCTGGATGTTTGCCAAGGTGGACCACAAATGCACATCATATACGTGTGTCGAGTTAACATAGTTCACTTAGAGTGATGTTATAACTAATCAAAATCGTTGAATGCTTATTGTTGTCATATCTCGAGTCTGTAGGTATGGGCACTAAATCCTTCAGCTGACCGCACCATATCTTACAGGGATGAACAGTATTTGCACAACAATCAATCCTAACTGTTAATCCCACTAAGCTGCTGGGTGAAAGAGAAGACCCCCAACGATACACACTATCAAGAAATAGCTGCGCAGTTGGGCAGCTTGGGATACTGACGTCACGTCGACTCCATCCCCAGTCTCCTACTCCTGTTCTATTGTGACGCAATACAACTTATTGTAAATGCACACATCAACGATGTATTCATTCCAATAATTAATTCCTCTGTTTTAGTCATTAGTTCCATATGAAATAAAGGTACATAGTCTGCGTCATAGAACACAGAACAGATGGTTGGAAACAACAACAAAACCGTTGTCCCATGACTAAAAAAATCGTTTCATTTGATAAGCATGCGTTTTGAAATGAGACGAAATATTTGCTTAAAATGTAATTATAACAGAACCATTTTCTATTCAGGGAGTACGTAAATCGGAGCAGATAACTAAGAAAATTCCAGTTAATCCTTGTCCCGCAGAAACGGTGAATATACACGTGGACGCCTGTCTGTTAAATCTGTCCAAGATTACCAAGGACGTGTGTTTGTACTCGGAACTTTACAGACCATTAGTGGCTGTCAACATTACTGTCATATCCACCGACAAGTTCAAGACAAACATTTTGTCCAATCCAACCATCAACTGGGGAGCGTTGACTGTCGTGAATCAAGGTATGGTTTCTTCATGAAGAGCAAACAGCAGTAGTTTACATCTTTCATTTTAAACAATATCTTTGATTACATGTGTACGGGGGAGTGAGTATGCTTTTACGCCGCATTTAGCAATATTCCAGCAATATTACGGCGGGGGACATCAGAAATGGGCTTCACACATTGTACCCATGTGGGGAATCAACCCGGGTCTTCAGCCTGAGGTGCGGACGCTTTAACCATTAGGCTACCCTACCGCCCCATCGAACATTCGAGAAAACAGACATATAACTGAAATACTGTTACAAGCGGGGTTTATTCATTCAGTGATAATAATAATAGTAACAATAGTCCATTTATCATGCGCATTTCTCCATGCACAATGCATGCTCGAAGCGCCCAAACAATCTGATTATTGGATAACCCAAGCTGCCTGTGAGGCGCTAGAAGCATAGTGGTTACATGGCTTTTCCCACCGGGTACCCATTATCTGCTGGGTGAACTGAGGCAATTGTGAACAAAACTCACTTGTCTAAGGTGAGACCTCATGCCTCATGTGCTTCATTGTGAAGATCTAGAAACTCTCAGGAGTCAAGCTGCCAAACACGGTTACCCATCCAAAGACTCTCCGCGCCCATCGTTGCTTAACTTCACCTGATTGCGACCTGAGCGCTATGCACAGGACCACATGCCACCACAGTCATTAAAGTATTCAACTACATCCGTCGATGCCTGGTACAGTTACGTGTGTTTACAGTGCCAAAGGAGTTGCCGTCAGTCATTTGTCCTGGGACAACGGTCATTCACGCTGTTCTGGAGCGATCATGTCCACTCCCAATCAGACATCACCCTTAGTGGGACAGTAGATGGAAAGAAGGTGAGTGATCACCAGTAGTAGCAGTAATACTAGTAGTAGTAGTAGTAGTAGTAGTAGTAGTATGGTAGTAGTAGTAGTAGTAGCAGCAGCAGCAGCAGTAATACTAGTACTTGTAGTAGCAGTATTATTAGTAATACTAGTAGTTGTAGTAGTAACAGTAATAGAAGCAGTACCAGCTAGCACTAGCACGCAGTATATCTGGTCTAGACAAGTCAGTGATTGACATCATGAGCATCGATTTCAGCAATGGCATCTGATGACATGCTTCAGCCAAGTCTCTTAGTCCAGCCACCCGATCCCATTAGTTGCAAACCGAAACATGAGTCTCATTAACCTATTCAGACAATGACCTACTTTTCAGCCGATCCGAATTTTCTCGTGTGAAAGTGAAAATAGACATCACAAACGACTATGGTTACACTGAATTCCAATTCCTTGTTTCATAAGAAAATGGTATTTACAAATGTATTTTAATTTCAAACTTAAATAACATCGTATTTCTATATTTTGTGGCGAGGTGTAGGCAGCATGACCTTAACTAAGACGTCACAGACTGCCCCAGTTTGATGAGGTCGTAAAATGATTCACAATGCATCTGACTCACTGCTTACACCTGTTATGTGTATTTTGCGCCTATTTAGTGTAGTTCTGAAACGCACAAAATGATTGACATAATATCAAGTCCGTACAAACTTTTCTAGCGGCAGAGCCTCGTTTTGAGATTTCCACGATTTCCAGGTTTCTGTTCTTCAGTGCACGCTGTACGACAGAGCACGCTGCACGACATGTTTGCAAGGATTATAAGGAGTGTAGTGTTGCAATATACAACTGCTTAGATGTATGAAATAATACTGATTAATATTTATGTATCTAGTTAAATGAATTGGTCTCAAATTTCTGGACTGGTTATTGTACTAAGTTGCGCATTATGACGGAACCCAGTCAACAGGAAACGAGACTGTTGTTTAATCAATGTTTTGACTTGTAAAGACAGATTATATGCGTGGTGATTATAACAGCGTTATTGTTGATATATTGAATAACAACGGCAGTAGTAGCGTCGACGTCTCATGTACTATTCGCTTTCTTCGCAGATGGATTACAGTGCAACTATCCAGGATAACGTCCAGAATGTGGTGGACCCAATCGTTATGGCTGACGTCCTGCAGCTATTACAGGTACACAATTATCTTCCCTTCACTAATCCGCTAGGTGCGCTGATCCGGACGATCCAACCTTAAACTGACAGCGCAGGTCGTACGTGTTACCATTACACTTAGACTAGAGACAGTTAACCAGTACAGCCTTCACATTCACCGGTAACGTTCACGCTGGTGCATGGACGGTATATCTTTTCCCTTTTACGATGATATATCAAGTGTTCCCTTTTACGATGATATATCAAGTGTTATGTCCTGAAATATTTATTCCATGATTCATATACTCTAACCTTCACATCACAGATGCAAAATACGGCTTAAGAACTGGTCATTCACTACAAGGGGCCGGGGGAATGTGAGGTCCAGATTCCTTTAGTGCACTCACTAATGTATTGATAATAATTGCCCTCCCATAATACTGTCGTATTTAGGATGTCTGTGCCATTGGCTTTTTTCCACCCTCACTGACAAGATATAATACAAGAGCAGTTTATATCATATCATATAATGTCCATTTTTCATGACCCACCACAAATATGTTTTCACACCCTCCTAGATGGATTCGACCCGTGAAGATCCGGGTTAGAATTGATCTTCAGTAACCTGCATGTGCTTGTCGTAAGAGGCGACTAACGGGATCGGGTGGTCAGGCTCGCTGACTTGATTGACACATGTCATCGTATCCCATTTGCGTAGATAGATGCTCATGCTGTTGATCAATGGATTGTCTGATCCAGACTCGATTATTTACAGACCGCCGCAATATAACTGGAATATTGTTAAATGCGGCGTAAAACTGAACTCACTCACTAACTCAATCCTAGATGGATTCAAGAATATGGGATGTGTGTGAAAAGGTGTCTAAAAGCTGTGTTTAATATAGCAATATCTCTTTCTTTGCAAAGTATATCAAAGTGTATACCTAATATCTGTTGAGCAAAAATGAAACTGCCTTCAAAACCGGATATTATGTAATAGCACAACCGGAGGGCTCTGCCCCAAGACGGTACAGAGTAACCTCAAGCAATATCAGTCCAATCCCTTCCGAAGTATCATGTAGGCATCGGGAAAGTGGAATGTGCCCCTTAACTGAGTCATTATGTTTGGCAATACGCGGCTTGGGGTTGTTGTTTTTCCATTTGTTTTGTTTCATGTTTTGTTGTTGTTTTTTTTAATACAATTATTGTATAAACAGACGAATGTTTATCACTCGGTTGATAGGCCAACGGGAAGTTGTCTTCACATGTTTATCACTTGGTTGATATGCCACTGGGAAACTGTCTTCAAATGTTTAACACTCGGTTGAAACTGTCTTCAGTGTCGCACAGGGTCTGGCTGAATGATGACACTCGAGCTCTCCGTCAGTTGACGCCTACTTGCAAATACAACAGCAATAGTGTAAATACGATGATCCTGACGCTAATCGTGTTCCCCCAGCTATTTCTTGACTAATAAGAGCTTGCCAATTGTCACAAGTCGGGGCGACCGACTTGCGTTGTTTTAGCATCTTATATTGGCACAAACTACTTTACAATTTATACCAATCGCCTCCGTCACCATTTACCTCAAAATATGTATGCTATATTTAACCGAAAGAGAATTTTTGATAATGATTCCAGATCAAAAGCAAAAACCTGTCCGAGAAACCAAGATGGCGGCCCCATATATACACCACTGGTGTTTTTTTTCGATATTTTTCTTTCAATAACTAAAAACAAAAACATTTTCAGGTAAGTGATTCAGGAAGAGACTGGTATACGCAATAACAATAGTTTATCAGTAGTAGACAAACCCTGATGCAGAAGTGCACAGAGACGCTAAAATGTCTTCTGGGACGATCCTAGGCAGCAGTATTGAAATACTGACGTTAAAAAGAAACGGGTGTATACGGTTCATCTGGTCCTTGTTACAGGAACAACTACAGGAGGAGGAAAGGATATGCAAGGGAAACAAAGGTAAATCTCACGTTGCCTGTAGACTGTAGAGTCCAAGGATGCCTTTAACAGTATTTCAGTGATATCAAGGCATGTTTGCATTAATTCTGAGGAGACCCCGATGAAGGTCAACCTTGCTTAAACTATGGTGTTAACAAATACAGTGGACTCCCTCTAAACCGACATTTTTCACCGGTCCCGAGCGATGTCTGTTTAGAGGCCTGGGGAGTACAGAAGTGCAGAATCTTGGCTCCAGGTGCAACACAACGGTCAATGGGGGATCCAGGGTTTTGAAAAAGGGAGGGTGCACACATGTCTCTAGGGCTCGCATTTGAGAAAACCAAGACTAATTCCTGTATCCATACCATCCACCAATCTCTTGGTTTTGGCGATCGCAAAGTACTCGTTCTTTGTTTTCATCAACAATTTACAGACCAATGAAATGTCGACATAAAAGAAAGTGAATGCGCAGAGGAGGTATTTTACCCAGAAACCAAAGCCACCGCCAATTTAAATGGACAGGGAAACATCCTTTCTATCTAAAACATTTATTTCTGCAGTGAGTATTTTTTCAGAACTAAATTTGTCACAAGTTCGATTATGAATAAAGTGGACTTGCCATCATATTGTTGATATAACCAACCCAACATCGGGGCTGGTTTGTAACTGGCATTCGGATTGGTACGTTAGGCCTAGTAGCGTAGCCAATCAATATGGCAAATGAATATCAAGGGCGGGTAATCTGGAGATGCAGGGGTTTGTATAGGGTTATAGAAATGCGAGCAATGGAGATCTAGAGGATGAAAATACCCAATCAGCAAGTAACTTGACTGAGGGTGAAGGGCCCGGAATTTGTTTCAGAATTCTGAAATTAGGTTGGGGATACATGTCGCCGTTCATTTTTTTGTCTTTACCATTGGTGCACAGAACAAGTTGGAAATCGCAACCAGAGCATCAACACTGATTACGACACCAACAACAACGTTAAAATGAGCAAACACACGCCCTCCACTTCACGACCCAACGCAACTATTATCAAAAGTAAGTACGGAATTGGAAAAAGTAGGTTTACGTCATACTGGAATGATCCTGCTTTATGAGGAATATAAAATGAATGATTCAAGGCTAGGCTAGGCAACCCAGTGATAAATTGTACGAGCGATAACATTCGCTGTTGATGTACAGTGATACACATTGCAGTATCTTCTCCTTATTGTAGCGCCATGAGCGGGTATAAGTACCGTATTTCCTCTATTAAACGCCGGGCCTCTACTAAGCGCCGGGTATAGACCTTTGCATTTTTTCGCAAATGTATTCTCCCTTGGTCTAGAAATAAATGTATTAAGGAATGGTCCCTTAAATCATAACATCGCATGTACTCATCCCCGCTTTTAAAAATACAGGGTATTTTAATAAGCGCCGGGTCTGGAGGTCCGTTGTAGAAAATAAGCGCCGGCAGCGCTTATTAGAGGAAATACGGTACCTAGATGTAGCGCTATACAAATACACACATTGTTATGATTACATATCCATGTCACGCACTGTGTGAGATCTTACACTGAAGCCATATACCGATGTGTCGAAAGTTGTTGATATGTACACTTTCTGAATTGTGCCTGTATATTGGCGTGCACCAGGTGAGCGTGAGTGAGTTTAGTTTTACACCGAACTCAGCAATATTCCAGCTATATGGTGGTGGTCTGTAAATATTCGGGTCTGGACCAGACAATCCATTGATCAACAGCATGAGCATCAATCTACGCAATTGGGAACCGATGACATGTGTCAACCAAGCAAGCGAGTCTGACCACCCGATCCCGTTAGTCGCCTCTTACGACAAGCATGGGTTACTGAAGGCTCATTCTAACCCGGACCTTCACGGGTGGCGTGCTACAGGAATGATCTACACATATCATATTGGAAATCGAACCCGGGCCTTAAGAGAAACGGTGCCCGTGAAGGTCCGGGTTAGAATATTTATGTTCAGTAACCCATGCTTGTCCAGACTCGATTATTTACAAACCGCCACCATACAGCTGGAATATTGCTGAGTGTGGCATAAAACTAAACTCACTCACTCACTAAGAGTAACGGGCGAACGCTTTAACCACTAGGCTTTGACTGGTTTTGTTGAAATCTGCAGGGGCACTTCAATGTGATCCGCTGGTTGTGTGACGAAAATCCCAATAGAGTCAGGGAGATTCTTCTGTACATTTTTCACGTATTTCATACCCACTTTTCTACATGTTGATGAAATATTACCTACTGACCCACAACCAATAGGAACACTGTCCAAGTTTGTATGTTCTTTCAGCAGTTGTTTCTAAAGAGGAGGAACGTCATGATACGAAAGTTGTTTATCCTACAACGGTAAGGTCCTTTAGTTTTCTTTGTAACGGTTACATTTCCAAAACTGCCAATGCATGAAGACAGTATAGAAAATGAATTATGCCCCCAAAATAAGACCAGAGGCTACACAGCTCTTAGTTGGAAAGTCTAAGAAGGTCTCTTTTTGTCCCACATTTTCAAATAAAATGTCGATGGAGTGAAAATTATGTAACTGCATAATTTAGTCACATACATTTACAATAGTGAAGAGTATAGGAAGAGCAAGATGTGAAACAGGCATGCCCTCTACATCCCAATCAGCCTACCCGTAGCAACATACACTGTCCTCACCTGCCTACCCGTAGCAACATACACTGTCCTCACCTGCCTACCCGTAGCAACATACACTGTCCTCCACCTGCCTACCCGTAGAAACATACACTGTCCTCTACATCCCCACCAGCCTACCCGTAGCAACATACGCTGTCCTGTACATCCCCACCAGCCTACCCTTAGCAACATACACTGTTCTCTACATCCCCACCTGCCTACCCGTAGCAACATACACTGTCCTCCACCTGCATACACATGGTAACATACACTGTCCTCCTCCTGCCTACCCGTAGGAACATACGCTCTTCTCCACCAGCATACCCGTAGCAACATACACTGTCCTCTATTTTGCCACCAGCCTACCCGTAGCAACATACACTGTCCTCCACCTGCCTACCTGTAGCAACATCCACTGTCCTCTACATCGCCACCAGCCTACCTGTAGCAACATCCACTGTCCTCTACATCGCCACCAGTCTACCCGTAGCAACATCCACTGTCCTCTACATCGCCACCAGCCTACCCGTAGCAGCATAAACTGTTCTCTACATCGCCACCAGTCTACCCGTAGCAACATACACTGTCCTCCACCTGCCTACCCGTGGCAACATACACTGTCCTCTACATCGCCACCAGCCTACTCGTAGCAACATACACTGTCCTCTACATCGCCACCAGCCTACCCGTAGCAACTTACACTGTCTTCCACCAGCCTACCCGTAGCAACATACGCTCTCCTCCACCAGCCTACCCGTAGCAACATACACTGTCCTCCACATCTCCACCAGCTTACCCGTAGCAACATGCACTGTCCTCCACCAGCCCACCCGTTGCAACATACGCTCTCCTCCACCAGTCCACCCGTAGCAACATACATTGTCCTCCACATCTCCACCAGCCTACCCGTGGCAACATACACTGTCCTCCACATCCCAACCAGCCTACCCGTAGCAACATGCACTGTCCTCCACCAGCCCACCCGTTGCAACATACGCTCTCCTCCACCAGTCCACCCGTAGCAACATACATTGTCCTCCACATCTCCACCAGCCTACCCGTGGCAACATACACTGTCCTCTACAACGCCACCAGCCTACCCGTAGCAACATACACTGTCCTCTACATCCCCACCAGCCCACCCGTAGCAACATACACTGTCCTCTACATCGCCACCAGCCTACCCGTAGCAACATACACTGTCCTCTACATCCCCACCAGCCTACCCGTAGCAACATACACTCTCCTCTACATCGCCACCAGCCCACCCGTAGCAACATACACTGTCCTCTACATCCCCACCAGCCTACCCGTAGCAACATACACTCTCCTCTACATCGCAACCAGCCTACCCATAGCAACATACACTCTCCTCTACATCGCCACCAGCCTACCCATAGCAACATACACTGTCCTCTACATCCCCACCAGCCTACCCGTAGCAACATACACTGTCCTCTACATCGCCACCAGCCTACCCATAGCAACATACACTCTCCTCTACATCGCCACCAGTCTACCCGTAGCAACATACACTGTCCTCTACATCGCCACCAGCCTACCCGTAGCAACATACACTCTCCTCTACATCGCCACCAGTCTACCCGTAGCAACATACACTGTCCTCTACATCGCCACCAGCCTACCCGTAGCAACATACACTGTCCTCTACATCGCCACCAGCCTACCCGTAGCAACATACACTCTCCTCTACATCGCCACCAGTCTACCCGTAGCAACATACACTGTCCTCCACATCGCCACCAGTCTACCCGTACCAACATACACTCTCCTCTACATCGCCACCAGCCTACCCGTAGCAACATACACTGTCCTCTACATCGCAACCAGTCTACCCGTAGCAACATACACTGTCCTCTACATCGACACCAGTCTACCCGTAGCAACATACACTGTCCTCTACATCGCCACCAGTCTACCCGTAGCAACATACACTGTCCTCTACATCGCCACCAGTCTACCCGTAGCACCATACACTCTCCTCTACATCGCCACCAGTCTACCTGTAGCAACATACACTCTCCTCTACATCTCCACCAGCCCACCATTAAATACTGTCCTTTATCTCCGCCAACCTATCCGAGGTATCTTATACTGAGCTCAACATCCACACATGAGTACCTGTGTTCATGACAGACAGGCATATAATTTATTCATGTGTTGTGTTCTGTGTGACTGACGACTAGGATCTTGTTTTGGTTGTGTAGAGAAGGAAGGACACACCAGCTGCGATGCTACACACTCTGAAACCGCGTATGTATGCCTGACTGTGATGTTCTGGTTGGATTGTTTAATGCCACACTCAGCAATATTCCAGCTATATAGCGGCCGTCTGTAAATAATTGAGTCTGGACCAGAAAATCCAGTGATCAACATCATGAGCACCGTTCTACGCAATTGGGATACGATGACATGTGTCAACCAAGTCAGTTGACGTTAATTGCCTCTTACGACAAGCATGGGTTGCTGAAGATCAATTCTAACCCAGATCTTCACGGGGTGACAGTGTTGTACACGATGTGGTCACTATAATTATGTGTTACTAGCAGCAACTGTTAAGCCTTTAAGAATACGTGTTTATGAATATTAGCTGATAATACGAGCGCTACCAGATCCCCCACCAGTTTCTCGAACTCTATTTGCTGTGCTTTTGCCCACTAGTAGAAGCCGGCAAATAGTCCATTTCGTCTACATCTACCCACCCCACCAATTTCGACCCTCGGCGGGCAAACTCCGTATCATTCTCGCCAACGACTGCTATCCGGGACCTAAGGACAGACACAACCGATGCACCGACTGCCTCGCCGCTCTATCGGAACTGCCTGCTCTCTTTGGACCCGACAACTCTACGTGCAAGTGCGGCGCCATCGAAGTCAAAAAGCGCTTCGGTATTGGGTCCACAAGGCTGTACGAGCTATGGTGAGAGCCTGCTGTAGAACCTCCGACGCCCAACACGACTGTATTGCCTGCTGAAGAACCTTCACCCGCTAGCAAACGTCTGCCGGCAGCGTATTGCCCGCTAGCGAGACGTCTACCAGCAGCGTATTGCCGACTGCAGAACCGTCAACTGCGCCCACCGTCCAGGAGTTCTATGACCGCATGGGGAGGCTCGAGGCTCGTGTGGAACAAAACGCGACGATGTTGTCGGCTCGTGCGGAGCAAACCACGAATTTGTTGGTGGACATCTTGTCTAGGCTAGACAAGGATGACGACGATGACGAACTCCTGGAGGAAATAGAAAGCGTCGAGGAGGAACAAGAAGAGACCCGTCTGGGTATTGAGAAGGTGCGGCAGATGGCAGAATCGGTTCAAAGGTTGACCTACCTTTCAATAGCTGCCTTGTTTCTCTGGAAGGTCGTCCGCAAGACCTGGAAGCACAGCAAACCAGTTTCCCCCTTCGTGCACCCCTTGCACACCCCAGCCAATGAGAAGGTAGAAACACCCAAGACCAAACGTGGGGATCCCTTCCATATGGAGTAGAGATGTGTGGAATGCAGCCTATACGAACCTAGCCCTGCGGTGCTTAGGCCACAGCACCCCGGCCCATGTTGGAGTAGGAGTAGTACTCTCCCTAGCCCTGTGGTGTCTGGAAGGACCCATAGAACCTATTCTCGCCCAAGGTCTGGAAGCAGCAACTCGACTTCTCTATCGTCTTTCTCTTTCGATATGGGTGAGCGGCAGATCTTACCGAGCCTGCACAGAAACGGTTCCCGCACCAACCGTAGGCGTTCTATTCCACCGGCGTCCCGAATTGTTTCTCGTATCTTGTAGCCGTAGACTGGAATTGTTTCCCCAGTCGGTGAATCAAGTAGCAGCAACAGCCGGTTCTTCCCTTGGTATCTCGCTACGGCAAACTTTTTGCACGTGTAGACTCCTTCTGGGACGTCCGCGGCTTTTCGGTGTTCGCTGCATGGAGGGGGTGCCACTTCCATATCCTTGGACCCACCATAGTTGAGCAATGGGGTATGCCAAGTATTGCCCCGTCCCTGTGGTACCTCTGCTTCCCCCCGATAGCTGCCGGAAGATACAAGACTCTTTCTCTTTGCACGGACAATGGTCCACCAATTTGCTGATGAGGAGTGCGTACCGTATGCTCCAGGAAGCGCAGGCACTGTCGTACAGGTTCTCTACATTCATGAAACAGCTGTCGACCATGATCTCTTCTGGAACCTCGAGTGGGAGTCGCTCCTGGGGTGTGTAGTCTATCGCTTTCTTTACCCAGGGAACGCATTTCTTGCTGGTGACGCAGTGGTCGATGGCGCCGCACCTGCACGTAGAGTTGTCGGGTCCAAAGAGAGCAGGCAGTTCCGATAGAGCGGCGAGGCAGTCGGTGCATCGGTTGTGTCTGTCCTTAGGTCCCGGATAGCAGTCTTTGGTGAGAATGATACGGAGTTTGCCCGCCGAGGGTCGAAATTGGTGGGGTGGGTAGATGTAGACGAAATGGACTATTTTGCCGGCTTCTACTAGTGGGCGAAAGCACAGCAAATAGGGTTCGAGAAACTGGTGGGGGATCTGGTAGCGCTCGTAGAAGGTGTGCCCTGATTGCTCCAGGAATTGTTTCTCTCGGTCCGAAAGCAATACGTGGGGACACTTCTCCAGCAGATCCTCGAAGACTTCGGCCATGTCGGGAGTTGTCGTCGTCTGTGGCTCGGGGTCGCGTCTATCGGGCTTGGGATATGTGGTACTTCCTCTTCACTTCCCGAAGGGACAAACGATCCGATCGGATCTCGGTATAGGCTTCGCGCGAGAGCTTGGTTCCTGGCATGTTTCTATATCCATGCACCCACATAGCTCTAATTGGGAGTGCACTGCATTGGAAGCCGCCGAAAGTGGTCTTGTCGAAGGTTTTGGGCAAACACTCATTTTTACTAGGCTGGTAGCAGAATTAGCCCGTATGGAAGCTTCTAAGCAAGGTGTACCTATACGTCTTTTTCTCCCCATTCCCTATACTACTGCAGTAGCAGTAGTCTGTCTCACAGTCCCTGAACCATATCATTTTCCCCACTGCTTAGCCCTCTCTGCAGTGCTAAAGCCCTAAATAAAGCAAGTCTAGATTTCCTCAGGTTCAGGTTCCTGAATCTCTGGTCTCACTTGGGCTCCTTTTCAATTTAAATGGGTTTATTTGCTACTATCACAATTATATGTATTCAGGGACTAACTGTTAGTCTACAGTAGCAGCAGCAGCAGTAGTAGCAGTAGCAGCAGCAGCAGTAGTAGCAGTAGCATTAGTAGCAGCAGCAGTAGTAGGAGTAATAAATGTCTCGCTTGCATCCTAAGTACACTGTCGTCAGGCTCCCCATTGTTCTCGGTGCCCTTGGTTGGGTACCTTTTGATCTCTTGGCGCAGATCAGGAGAGTGCCCGGGTTCTCCACTGGGAGCACAGCCCTTCTGACACTCTGGGTAATGCAGAAGGCTGCAGTGTTGGGGAGTGTACATATTCTCCGGAAAGTTCTTGGTGGGCTCGACTAGGCAGTGTTTCCTGGGAGATGTCCCATTCGCTGTCTGGGCTGCATGTAAAGGGGCAAAGGGCCCTGAGCTGATGATGAGCCTTACTAGCCTGACTGTGCCAGGATCACCCGAACCCTCTCTGCTGCTTTTTTCATCTTAATCTGTAAAACGTGATAATAATGAAATTAGTAGCACAATACCAGATCTTTTCACTGCGTCAGCGTGTGTGGACACCGCTCACTGTCCGGTGAGCCCCGAGTGGACTCTTAATAGACTTTCAGTCGGAGGAAGCATGGGTTCTTAAGTCAGTTGGATGAGAATTCTCTGACAAAATGAGGCCTCATTTATTCACTACCTCCATTTGGAAATTTCAGTTTTTAAGAAACCATTGCACGCAACACAAATATTAGCTCGTATGAGATGCATTGTTTATGCATAACGAGTATGAACAATATAAATATCATCAGTAACATTAGTAGCTGGTTGTAGTAAGGATCGTGGTATATACAAGTCGAAGACAGGAGGCTATCGTGCGGAGTAAAGGAAGTAGCCATAAGTGTGAGTGAGTTTTAGTTTTACGCCGCTTTTAGCAATATTGCAGAAATATCACGGCGGAGGACACCAGAAATAGGCTTCACTCATTGTACCCATGTGGGGAATCGAACCCGGGTCTTCGGCGTGACCTGCGGACGCTTTAACCACTAGGCCACCCCACCGCCCCTTGTCATAAGAAGCAATGGGCAGACGTTTATCTGTTACTATTGGCAGTACCACAAAAGAAGGCCAGTTTAAGAAGGGAACCACATCTTTTACTTGTCAGAAAAAATAATTTCCAACGAAATAACCATATTTTCTGTAAGGAAAAGACGAAGTCAACCAATTACTGGTTGATTCTCGGTGCATTGATGATTAATTTGTGGTGGCAATTCCAGTAATAATGACCGATAGTAACAAACACAAGCAAGCCTTTACATAAATTAAACACTATTTGTTAACTTCTGACCATATCTCACACAGGAAAAAAAATCATTTATGAGGAACCGCATCGAAGCATCTGCATTTCAAGAAGTAGATGAGGAAACGGAATCCGACACGTCATTGCAGCAGCGCATGTCGAGGTGTGTGAGTGTGAGTCGTTTCGGACGAATGTCACGCATGAGCAGACGACGCTGCAGTCGGTCGTCTTTGGATTTCGGGACTTCGGATTCCAGTCTGATGGTGAACCCACCCGGTAGTGAGAGATGCTTGCAAACCCGGATGTCACGCAGGAAACGAGATCGACGCTTGAGCAACTATAGCAGAAGCAATTTCGAGTACAGGCACAAGTATCCTAATATATAGTTACCCTTTCCTGTTTGACACTTCCTCTTTAGACATTTAAGATACAAACACGTGTGGTCAGAACGCAGATTAAATGACTGCAGTTGCTCACGCACCTTTTTATCAGCAAAACACTCCTGAATAAGAGTGAGCAAGATTCCAGCAATATCATGACGGAAGACACCAGAAAAAGGTTTCACACATTGTATCCATGTGGGGAATCGAACCCGGGTCTTCGGTGTGACTAACGAACGCTTTATCCACTAGGCCATATTACGCATGCGCAACGACAGGGTCTAAAACGCGAGAAAATGAAACGCAAACAAGATAAAAAGTGCTATGTATCAAAAGCACGAGAATGCGAGATTTTGGCCAAATCTCGCGATCTCGCATTCTCGCAGTTTCCAAAGGGCGAGATCGCGAGATCGCGAGAATGTCCCATACAGTATTCCATAGTTCAATGTGCCTTTCAACTCGTTAAATGTTCTGTTCAGAATACAACCTATGGCGGTATCCGACGTCGACACGAGCGCAGTGGAATCCGAACGCCTGCCTTCCATTTCCAGTATTGGTGGAAGCTGGTCAGAGAGTACCTGTGGAATACAGGAAAGACGTTTCTCCTGTGACTTGCGCAACAAGACAGAAAAGCCCGATGCTTACCCAACCGACACGAGTTCAAAAGGCGGGTCAAGTGATGAGAAGATTAACAGCCAACGTTCAAGCATCATGCAGGCATCGTACAGCGAAACAGAAGTCTTCTCGAGCACTATTCCTGGCAGAGTCAGAAAGAAAAGTGGATTACAGAGGGGAGAGACGTCCAACGTCTGCTGTTGCAAATATACAGATGGGTCCATAAAAAAGTATGTATTTGATAAGAGTGAGTGAGTGAGTTTGGTTTTTCGCCGTTTCCAGCAATATCACGTCGGGAGAGAAGAAATGGGTTTCACACATTGTACCCATGTGGGGAATCGAACCCGGGTCTTGCGAACGCTTTAACCACTAAACTACCCCACCACCCGTGTTTGATAAGACGTAATTATAATTCTGCATAACAACTGATATTGCAGTCTATCCCAGATCATGACCATGTATATTTTTAAAACGTACTCCCAGCTAAATGACGGCGGTCCGGACCAGACAGGCCAGTGGTTCACATCATGGGCATCGATCTACGCAACTCGGTTACGCTGACATATGTTAGCCAAGTCAGCGAGTCTGACCACCGCATATTGTTAGTCGCCTCTTACGGCAAGCATGGGTTGCTGGAGACCAATAATTCACACCCGGATCTTCGCGGATTCGCATGTAAGTTGGTAGAGGCGTGTAGTGTGTGCGTTCCTGTGAAGAACTGACGAATTGCGTATTTACCTCCTGAATACGTCATTAATATTGTGACTTAATGTCAGATCCTCAGGTCGTCGCCATCGCCATATGAACTCCATCATAGTTGAAGAGAAGGACCCAGGGGAAGAGACAGAGACGGACGGTTGCGTCAGCGAGGTAGAATGCGGGAGGCGTTGGAGCAGCATCAGCCGATCAACCTCGCGAAGGAAGAGGTTCTCAAAGCGAAGATTTACATACTCCGATATGGTGCGATTGTCTAGAAGTGGGAACATGCTAACCAGCAATGATCAGGACCTGCCACTGACCCAGGTGGACGAATCTTCCCTTGAAGGTTGTGATAAATAAGGAAAGGGAGCGAACCAGATTGCACTTGGTTTACAAAAAAACAGATGAACGTATTAAAAGTCTGTTGCAAGTATTTCGAAAGAGGAACCTGAAAAAATACACCTGAACTTTTCTAAGAATCTTTCGAAAGTCTTAGTTGTTATAGTGCATGTGCCTTTAGAGTTCACACTATGCATGGACAGTTATATTGTTTGCCTGCATTTGCAGTGACTCTCCTCAAATATTCCCCAAACAGCACCGGATTTCGACGTCATATACATTATTTGATATTCATACAATATGCTGCTCTATCATTTGGTATTTGATACTTTGTTGTTATTGTGTATATATCAAGACAGTATTTGCTCATTTTCAATGATTTATTTAGGATTCAACTGACTTTCATGAAGGTATTTTCTGTTCCTTACAAAAATATCATAATGAAATTTCAAGACAAGTATCTGTATCAATCTTAATGAAGTTAAATAGTTACAAAATCTAGCCCAGTTTATATTGATGCAGGTGAGGCGAAATGGTGTGAAGGTGGCGTTTTTCAGCAAGGTGCATGCGGGACTGCTTGTCGTGGGTCGGACGTATGCCGGGTTATATTGCTATGACTCACTAATATGTCATGCGCTTGTGTTAACATGGATACTCAACTCAAAATATTTCACTGACCGCGAAAGGCTGGTCCTAGTCTGTCTTACAGTCCCTGAACCACATTATTTTCCCTACTGCCAAGCCCTATCTTCAGTGCTAATTAAAGCCCAAAATAAAGCAAGTCTAGATTTCCCCAGGTCTGAATCTCTGGTCACCCTGGGGCTCCTTTTCAATTTAAATGGGCTTGTTTGTTACTATCAAAATTATATATACATGTATTCAGAGACTAAGCATTATCCTAGGCCGGTCCTTCCTTTGACGCTCGACAGGGAAACAGCGAGTACTATATTTTAACTATGGGAACAGGGATCTCGATGTTATGGTGTCCCTTTGCCAGAAATCTGGCCTTTTCGCTTGGTGGCTCTTTATCTATGGCCGATGCATAAGCTGTATGTATTGTTTGTATACCGTTACCTGGTAGTGTTTGTGGCCGGTTATGTTTTTACTTGAGGTTGTATCAGCCTCAATTATCGAGAAGAATAGTGTTTATAAATGTGTTTTTGGATGTGTAAATTGTTTCCTCATGTTTGTATTTTGTATACTTGCATCACAAGTGAGATAATTAAGATACATTAACTGAGTAATTGATCTGTGCTCATCACTTTTATTATGTCTTGTAATGTTTGTCAATATTTCAATGAACAACATGGTTACTTACCCACACTCCACAACTCATGTAGTGCTCGTGTGATTAAATTAGTGAGTGAATGCGATTAGTTTTACGCCGCACTCACCAATATTCCAGCTATATGACGGCGGTCTGTAAATAATCGGGTCTGGACCAGACAATCCAGTGATCAAAAGCATGAGCATCGATCTACGCAATTGGGAACTGATGACGTGTGTCAACCAAGTCAGCGAGCCTGACCACCCGATCGATCCCTTTAGTCGCCTCTAACGACAAGCATGGGTTACTGAAGATCACTTCTAACCCGGATCTTCACGGGTTGATTAAATTAGATTTGACAATGTAATGACTCGTGTGTAGAATTTGTTTTTCATGTACATAATAAATGAATACCTGATAATAAACATATTTCAAGGAGGTTGTTGCATTTATTGGGGTGTTATTTTTGCATTTTAAGTGTTTTTTATTTATATTTTGAAATATTTATATCATGTTATGACTCATATTTCCAACAAGCTGTTCACATTGACATTGTCTTGTCAAGGTTTGTTCAATAAATGCCAGTGCCAATGTGAGTGTGTCTATCATTCTTCAGTGATTTTACAGGAGCTTCAAATGATATACGTTCACTTGTCAATATATACACTGGTTTGTGATGTTTTATCAGCATTGTTGTTACTCGTCGTCAAAGTTTGTATTGTTGTGGCATTAAAATCGTTATTAACGCCATTTGTTTCATAGTTATTTACATTTGTTTCGAACACACAAGAATATAAGTTGCAGATTCAAGAAAGGCAGTACAGACCCTATTATATAAATATTGTATGAATGAAGACATGGTTTGTTCGTTTGTTGTTCAGCGCTGCTGACATCAATATTCCAGCTATATGGCGGTGGTCTGGTAATAATCGAGTCTGGACCAGACAAGCCAGTGATCAACATCATGAGGATCAGCCTACGGAATAGTTGACCTGTGTCAACCAAATCAGCGAGCCTGACCACTCGATCCCGTTTGTCGGCTAGGTTGCTGAAGACCAATTCTAACCGGGGTCTTCAGGCGTAGGTTCTGTCCAAATAGTAGATCTATAAACTATAGTTATCTATGTGAAGACATGTATATGTAATTGTCAGAGGATGGTGTTTACAAAGTCAGAGAATACAATTAAGAGCATGCTCAAACATCGTGGAAAACTGAGAACGCCTAGCGAGCGTCATACTAAGGACGCATGTATTGAACACTGTATGTACAGTGCTATGTAATTGACATTAAATGCCTGTTCACTTCGATGGGATTACGTCCTTCTATTAACTACACATGTACCACATTTCATGAAAGAAGACTGGTTTTAAGAAGTAACTTACATCTTTTAGTATGGTTAAAGTGTAAAGATCACTTCAAAGCCAAAGTTTATACCATCGCAAAAGACGAAAGATGTATGTTGAGCTCCACTACTAGCTATACACGTACCAAATTACATTACATTATGCACAAAACTGGTCACAAAAACAATTTCAACATGGCTTTCGCGGTGTCGAAATGTCATTCGAACCGTTTAAACAATTTGGGGTAAAGCATTGGTGGGAACAAGAATGTGAAATTTATTTGGCCATTGGTTTCTGCAGTGTGAAACTGGTAATGACATTAACTCACTTGTCCTTTAGTATGTTGAGCTAACACCCCACTGAAAGAGTGAGGCTCACATATGAGATACCCAGTTTATAATACCATGCTTGTGTGGGTGTTTTTCCGATACTGTGAAACATGCATAGGAATACCTTCAAGGGTCTTGGGATTCGAACCCGGGTCTTCGGCGTCTAGACTCAGGAGCACTCCGTGACAGACAATAGGTCATTACGAGGTGTTGCCTTACTTTGACGTTCGTTATGACGCCTGTACACGCATCTTCTTTCAAGAGACCCGTGAAGGTCGGGGTTAGAATTGGCCTTCAGTAACCCATGCTTGTCGTACGAGGCGACTAAAGGGATCTGGTGGTCAGGCTCGCTGGCTTGGCTGACACATGTCATCGGTTCCCAATTGCGCAGATCGATACTCATGTTGTTGATCACTGGATTGTGTGGTCCAGACTCGAGTACTTACAGATCACCGCCATATAGCTGGAATATTGGTGAGTGCGGCGTAAAACTAAACTCACTCACTTACAAGAAAGTTCAAAGCCATTTTACAGACTCTTCTGAAAACATAACAGGAGATAAATGGCGATTCCGACAGTTTCTACGCCCTGAAAAATACAACGTTGGTGCAGCAGGTGATCGTAGAGCATGCGCATTAGCTGAATGCAAAATGGTCAGTAACATGGACTGTGGTGGAGTAAGAGAACAGCGATTTGGAGACTGGTTTCCGATTAATCGATCCAGGCCCAACCGTTGACCTAAGGCGCCTGTGCAGAGCCCAGTTACTAAATCCTGACGAAAAAAATTAGTATCCTATCACAAGGTGATTCCTTTGAAAACATTGTCTCTGTTATATCATGGCCAGTATACACCAGAGGGACTGGTATCTATATAGTACCCTACATAGGTAGCAGCAGTGAAGTAAGAGTAGTGTATAAACTGTAAAAGACGGCAGTATATTGCCTGATATTCTCTAGCAGTTTTACTGGAGAGACGCGACAAGTTTCAAGCAACGTCTTGCAAAAATGCCTGACACGTCAGTGCCTGTACATTGCGAGATCGATTTGCCTTGTGGTTTGAATAGGGGATTACTTTTTTGACTGATAAACATAATGATTCCTTAGATAAGATCGATTTCCAACACCGAGCTACTATGTGATCATTCGCATATTAAAGAATTGACGTAATCTCCGGTGCTGATGTCTCCTATGACAACACTTCCGGTACATCAGAGACTAACAAGAAGAGACCTTGCCACTTGATCCATGACCTATAGTCTACCCCCGCCCTATTAAGACAACGATTTGAAAGGGCAGATTACCTTTGAGGTAGTGGTACTTCTGATATCTAAACTTATCGAAAGAACCAATCCAGCATATTACTAATATTCTGGACGACTAAGGGACCGTTCATAATTTATGGACATGACATGCTGGGGGTTCACTTATTTTGTACTTACATTTTAAGGGGGGCTCATTCACATTGAGCATGCTTCTCCATAAAGATCATCATCACACACCCCTACCCATAAATTATGCACGGTCCCTAAAGGGCAACCAAATGCCGCTATCAGTTCACACTTCAAGACCAACGGTTGTGCAAAGATCACATTTTCACAGTATGTGCTGTGTCAATCTATCGTGTACTGCAACTAAAGGTTATTTCTAGCAATTTGTACACTTTTTTTTATAGTACAGTTGTTTATTATGCAACATTTCTTTGTCTCTCACTGACTTCTTTAGCATATAGATTTCGGGTTAAACTTATTTTTTTCCAAATTGGAAATTGACACAGGAGATTCAAGTGTTCAGGTAACCTGTTACCTTGGACACCTGGCATTTAGTGATTATAAACTGTGTAAGAAGCCAGACCTCAGTTCTCACTATATCACTGCCTTTGCTGGAGTGGACCAATTCGAAAAAAGCATCCTCCAAATTGGTCAGTATGAAATGAGTGTCATGTTAAAACAGTTCTTATACGAAAAGTATCACTGAAAATCAGATGACAACATAAGGCAATGTAGGAGATAAAAATTTTATTTACAAATCCAACAAGAGTCACATGGTGAAAATAAAACCAGATTGGCCTGTTCGGTGGCCACAATAAGGGAAACAGTCAATGGCATTCAGACAGAAGCTAAAGCTTGACAGTGAATATAGACGAGGCCCTGGCACATAAGCAGCATGGGTAATGTAGCCTGTCCCTACAGAGACAAACAGACAACTGCATCACCAAGGCTGCTGAAGGGCTGTCTGACATACTGACAATCATACCACTATGACAGTAACTGCAGCCATGGAACTTCCATCATAAACACTGATCCATCACTGCACATGGCTGCAATCCCACACCTACTGGAGTTACCTGCACTTGATGGCAGCCCAATGTGGTATGGTGGTCACGGGCAGCAATTATAAACAGAGGGTGTACAGGCATTGCCTTACAGCAGTAGTAAGACTTATCTATAGAGGAATAAACAATAGTGCATGCAAATGTCGGAACAGACTAACAGCGACATCATATCAGGATTACCATGTTGTAAGGTTGTGTAAGGAAATCATTGTGTTTGTATTGCAAAGAAACATTCAGGCTTCTAGAGTTGAAAAAGAGTCAACTGACTTGTTTCAAAGCCAATTATGCACAGAATATTACAAAAGACATTCTACTGTATGAGTGTTTGTATCTACAAGAGACCTTGTGGCATGAACAGCAAGACTTTGGGTGGGCTTCTCCGACACAAGAACAGTACCCATGACCAGAACCCTATCGGAAGCTCTAGTTATTGGTCAGAACTCAAGCTCCAAAGAAACTACAACACAGTAATGTTTGTGTTATATACAAGTATTATGTATTTGGGTGTGGACAGAACAGTAAGCCTGACACTAGACATAATGATACTGTCAGGTTCAGCAAATGACCAGTTCCTTGTGTTCATGAACCTATGGGGCACTTGCTAAATCGGACATGCAGTATAAAATAGTTACTTAAATCTGGGAAGGAAATGTTTTCATGTGAAACAAAGAATCTAATTAGGAAAATGTGCTTGTGCATAAACACAGACATTGTTAAAGACTTTTTAAGAAACAAATTATCAATGGGATCCTATTTTTTTCATGTTAGAAGTTACTGGAATCAACCAAGAAATGAACAATTGGCCATTATATTATGTAATGAGAATTAATTCATGACAATTTAACAGCTTTTCTTATATAATTCATCTCAGAGAATATGAAATTTGAATTCTTAAAGTTAATATCAACCAATTGGTTTTTTTTCTTCATATTTTGTGATTATTTGCCTTGTAATTTTTTTTAAACAATTTTCAAAGAAGAAAGGTGCCTGGGAGGTTAATATGTTGAGTGTAGAATAGAAATGTTGCATGTTACTTTCATATGATGTGTTTCTGACAAAACACAGGCATCAACAAAGGTGACAGTTATAATTGTTCTTGACACTGAAGATGCATTGTACATCCAAGAAGTTCAACAGCAAGCTTCCACTGCACATTAATATCTTCCACACATTAAAATTCAAACACTGCTGCTTCTTCCTCCAAACCTTGTAAAATAATTTCTTGGCATTCAATAACAAAAATGTCTTTATCAAAGCAATCAATATGCTTGACAAATTGAAAATGAAAACTGTCTTTTCAAGATCATGATAACTCAATTACCAGATTTTGATCCAATTGTTTGTTTAGTTACTTTCGAAGAAGAAGATATTTCAGAGCAGACAAACATACAGATTGGATTGACAGAGGAAGCAAATACCTGGTTATCTTGTTATCATGGCCTTATTGCTAGTTCATTAAAACTGTGTCTAATCTCACATCACACAGTGCCAAATCTCCCAGTTCTTTGAACTTGAGATGTACACACTCCCATCAAGACAACAGCTGAACAGTAGATATCAACCGGCAGCCAAGATGATATACATGAATGGGCTCTGGCATGTAGTATATACAAGGAAAAACAAACAAGGCCCATCCATTAAATAAATCAATGAATTCAGAGAGCAAAATAAATAGAAACCATGGAATCCAATATTGTCAAATCAGTTAAGAAAAATATCAAAAGGCAAAAAGAATGAAAACACTCCTATGATACCTTGGTTCTTGGGAAGTGGATGCCTCAGTTGACTTTCTATGATAAATCACTGCAGTTCTTGGGAATAAGGTTATGGAAAACATTTGGTAATATAGTGTTAGAAAATGTATATAGTCTGTCCCGTTGGGTGATACAAAGAATGAAACTGTCAACAAACAAAACACTCTGAACAATGTTGTTTGTATAATGTAAACGGAATGAAAACATACATTCTTTTCAAACAACCAGGGTTGTAATAATGAGGATCATTATGATCTGATATATATGTGATACCGATTACTGCTGCACACGATTACAGAACTGTGTCGAAATTTGAATTTTATTTCACATTACGCATGAAAAGTAGAGGAAATTCTGAAATGTTATCATAGTTACACAACTGATTTAGAAAAACATATCCACTGGAGATATATATCAATATAATGTTATAATTTTATATATCTTACCTGTAAAACGGCAATATATGCAAGCAATGATAGAGTAATCACAATTTCATAACAACCCTTCATCAGGGGCAAATAGTGTAATAGTATAGCCCTGAACTGGCATTGTCTAAAGTGATTACATCACATGTATGATGACAAAGGACTAGATCTTTCAAACAAATATGTGATGTGGAGAGGTGCAAGTTGCCTGGACAGACACCAAGATGGGTGTGAGAGATTGAGGGTTAACGGGTGAAAACAATACATAAATAAAGTTATAAGGTCCATGTGCAAAAAGCAGCACGACAAAATATTGCACTATTCAAGATAAATGTATAAGGATTGCACGAAACATTTGCTCTTTGATAGCAAACAAATAAAATGGAGGCCAGTCAATTCAAATACAAATACTGAGCCATATGTTCAACCAGCCTGTCTATTACAAACAAGATTTATCATATCATTTTAGGAAGGAATATTGAATTAATTTCTAAAGTTTGTCTTGATAATATAATTCTTTGTAACTAAAAATAGTAATGAAACAAGGGCAAATGTGTCTTTACTTTACAGCTGAATTTTTGCCAGAATGAAAGCATCTATTGTATTATCTAGAACAGAGAACGTTCATTATGAAAGACCTGGTAATGTTCACAAGCCCTGTCTTTCACTGAGGCACCTGTTACAGGCTGCAATGTTAATGCATGGCTCTCATGAGTAGACTTTGAAACTCTGTACATATTCATTCAAAAAGATTTCATCAGTCATTCTGACTAAGTAACCTTTCTATCAGTGAATTTCATACCATAATCATCCCACTCAGTGAGACCAAAAACACATTGTTGATGGAATTCACAAGGTATGTTGGTTGAGCTTCATACACAACTAAAAAATAGGTGGTAATAAATTAGGTTACATCACAATAATATACCCGGTGTGAAAAGTGAAAAAAAATGCTTTGCCACTATGATAACAAAGGGGAAATGATACATGTATCACCTTATGCAAATAAGTCAGCACACAAAACATATGAAGAAATAATTAAAACTGTTGAATAAATATGTGAAGATGAGATACATACAATATGAAAAAGCAGTTTGAGACATCAGGTCATGGTTGTTTTAATCACAATTTTGAATAATATCACACGTAATAACGATGAGATTAGCAAGTATTTTTCTCATATTAAGTATATATTTAACAAAGGATACAGTATGATCTTTTATAATAGGTGCCCGCACCAAATCAATTTTAATATCATCTGTGTCTATGAACTACTGTAATGGAAACATCTATGTATATGATCAGAAAAGTATCTTTTAACAGATGGATCAAATTATTCATTACAAACGAAACGGAAGAAACATATCGAGTTATGCAATTGTTTCTCATCTGGCGTAATTACCAAACGTCAGGCAGGTATTAATTACTAGGTTGAATAAAAACACTATGGTGCATCATAGTGACCGAGTGCAGGAGTCCCGAGACTGATGTTGGAGGAATAGGTGCCATGCACAAGGCTGACCAATCTGCACAGCTGAGCATCTACCTCAGATAAATATATGGAAGAGAAACAAAGAACACACAACTAATGTTAAGCTTGAGTAAGATTTCCTAAGTTTCTTGTGCGCATCATTTGGTCCTGAACAGCTTGGAATAGATCAGTGAATTGAAAGCAATTACATATACAAACCAATAAATATCATTGTCTTGAGCTGGTAACAGTATTACTGACTAATAAATAATATCCAAGTCTATACCTGTGATACACATCACCATATGCCTAATGATATTACTTAAATGATCTCAGTTGATGCGTTTCCATCAAAGGGATAGTCGTGTGCTTTCAAAACTACCAGCTACATTTTGAAATTATTTGACAATGCCTACTTGATCCGTACCAATTCAGGAATAATATCAGTGTTTTCTTTCACCCTACTGCTGACAACCAGTCAGGAACTTCAATACATCCACACAACAATGTTATTTTGAGAACTTAACACAATCTGATAACCTTGAAATATCACAAACACAATTCTTTACACAGTGAAAACATTCCTGGAAAACTTCAACCTCCTTCAAATAATGTGAAACTATAAAGAAAGCCTATTCAAGCTTGATACTCATTAGTAACCCGAGTTAAGTCCGTAAGTGCTGCATAAATATTATGGAACAACTTCAGAGCAAATATACAACAAATTCATTGTCTTGATCAGATTTAAACCTCTACCAGTGCACAAAATTCTTCAGTACTAAGTAATGTTAACAAATAAGAAAAAAGTTCCTGGAAATATGATCCACCTACACTGAAATCTTCTTCCCATAATAATCCTTTTCTGCATCAGAGAAATTGCACCAGACGATTCTCAGGCAGATTCCTCTGTGAACCAAATGTCTACCAGTACAAGGTTTTGTGAAACCTCTGACATAGCTTTCTTATCTTTGGTCATTAACTTCATGAATATTCATGAGGGAGCATCTGAAGGAGTTCCACTGGCAGCTTATGCCTGAATTCATGTGTAGCATGTAACAATTCAGTTCAAAAGGAAACAGCATGTTTATATATGGAAACTCTCTGCAGAAAAAAAGGACTACACTAAAGAGATTTGGGAATTAATATTCTATTTGGAAATATCGAGATTTAAAATTCAATGAACAAACTGGAAACAATTTAAATCACAAAAATGCATTATAATAACATTCTTTGCCCTTGCCATTTATTGTGGCTTTTTTTGGTTTTAAAATGATACCTTGAAGCATAGCACTTAACAGGAGTAAGAGGTTATTCCAATATTATACAAAACTTTCATATGGAGAGATACTTCAATATGTAATTAATGCAAAGAGATCAAATGTTATAAATGACAGACTTTCGCGAAGTCTTGTGTAGATGCTGGGAGTATAGAACTGGTACATCTCACTTGTCCAATGAAAACATTTGATGCTATGCTTCTGATACAAAAAGATTTGTTCAAATTTCAAGCACTCTAAAACATTAAGAAAACAAAAGAAATTAGAAAGTTCCCCATTTCTGGAGCTAAAAAATGTGGGCTCACAAACTTTCCCATAACACACAAGTGTACAGAGCTAAAGAGATTTGAGCAAAAAACCTTTTTTCAAATAAACCACTTTGGCTGCAGAGTACCAAAGTACGTACACAGTTCATTATGCACAACAAGTGGTGAAGTCGAGCTTGCTATATGCAATTTACACTCCAAAGGTCAAAGGTCACTCCACTCCATGAAGGTTTGCTGGAATAATCCTGGGTCCTTACTGGTGTAAGTCACACAGCCGCTCCCACAAGATATCAAGTTTGACAAAGGAGAGAAAACAGATTGCATCACATTAAAATGTGGTAATCCATAAACAAACAACCAGTAGTTGGATACTCCAAGAACCAACTCCATCAGAAATTGCACAAATCCAATGCTAGATGTCTATACTTCCCTACGCAAAGGCGGGTAATTTTTATTCCGCGGAGAGCTATGGAGTTTATCTCGCGAGTCTATATGGTGCTCATAATCCCGAGCGTGTCTCCGTGAATCATAGTCGTGAGAACGTTGGTCACGAGGATCTCCCCTTCCGTAGTCCCTGCCCCCCCTCGTGTCATAGTCACGTGACTGGTAGTCACGGTCATAGTCGTGAACATCCCGTAACCTGGCATCTCGGTCGTGCTCATGGCGACGCTCTGGTGACGCTGGTCGCCGGTGGCGCTCCAGACTGCCTGAACGACTGTGGGAGACACCTGCAGGCACTGTGTTGTGCCTGGACAGGGGTCCCGTAGGGGACTGGGGCATAGTCCTGTGGGGGTGAGAGGGGGGAGGCAGGGGTGAGGGTGGGAGGATGGGTGGCACGCCAGTAAGCTTCCAGAAACTCAGCCAGATGATCACAAGCATCATCCAGCTGGTTTTCATCCAGAATCACATCAAACATTTCCTGCAAAGAGAATCAAAATATCTTAGTCACTGATACAAGTGTTGACTGAAAAATTCTAAGCCTTGCACAGAAGGAATTATGTATCAGTAAAAGAGTGAGTGAGTGAGTGAGTTTAGCTAATGTCGCTTTCAGCAATATTCCAGCAACATTGCGGTGAGGCACACGAGAAAACAGTGAAAGAACTTATTGTGTACACTGCATGATGTTACTGAGGTAAATCCACAAATACTTTAGTCCACTGAGCAAATGTTTCCCTGTGGCAAGTCAGTAGATGAAGCAGGTTTTAGTGATCTTTCAAAAATGGACTATAGGAATTTGCAGTGTTCAAGTAGAAAAAGACAAATCAAACGGCTCCATAAGCAGAAAGTATGCAGAAATGTCAATCAACCATACCAAAGGGCACGCTAATGGTTATACTAGTTTAGATGCAAACTCAAATCTGCAACTGACATAACATGAGACTGGAACAGATTATTTCTGAATTTAATAGTAAATCATCACGTCTATGGACTCCAAATTACACTTTGTTCGTTAACCAGAATTCGCTGAAAGGATACTTAATACATCTTCATTTACACCATGAATCATGAATAACTATGCTATTCCAATTTTAATTTCAAGCTCTAATATACAATGTGGGAGGTGAGGCTATAGCAGATCATGTTAACAAGGCCAAGCAAGTTCTACTCCACTTGGTTCAATGACTGATCATCAAATGCTCATCAATTATTAAGACCCCAGAGGTAGTGTTGAGGTAGGGGATTGCTGTATATATACTTAGAATGTACTTACGGGACTACATTGCGCCAATTTGTCAGCAGCCACAAGTTGAACATTCATATTTCTACTCTGGGATTTACCTCTTGACTTGACTAATCGCTGTAGTACCTGCCAGAAAATAATTAAAACATGAAGGTAAAGACAAAGAGACTACCAAATTACATCAAGAAGTTAATTTTAAGACATTTGAGACAAAATTGGGAGAATATTAGTCAAAATATTTTAATGGCGATAGAGCATAATTGTACAAGTTATGGTTCTTCAGACAGACAATTAGAGTACTTCCCTGGCGGTCCATTAACATAAGCTAACGCAATTTATTTCCTAATCAAGAAAAAAGAAAATAATTCATTTTAACACCATGTTACCTTTGGTGATGAAATTTTGACATAAACAATAATTGGAGCTAAAGATGTTTTTGCCAACTGAGATGGATGGTTAATCGTGTCACAGTCCAACACAACCAGTTGAAGGGTTCGGGCCAGTTCAAATATCCGCTCAATCTCAGCTTGTACTTCAGCTGCAACAAATTCAAGTTACACATTAACTGATAACTGAAATAACAGAACATGCAGAGTTGTTTCCCTTGTCCTGCAAACACCTAATCAAGGTAACTTGAAAGCATTTTACAAGAAGAAAAGAGATTAATACTTGAAAGCATTGATTTATCTTAAGACTTACTTATTTTCAAAACATTTTTAAATATACTTCATTCTGATGTTTAATAGCTGAGCTGAAAATGCCACTTCATTTAGGGGATAACTGTACTGTGTTTGACGAATTGGGGACGTATACCGGTGGTTATATAGCCGGCTTACGCGGAGCCGATATAACGTTAAATTTGCGGCTATATAACCACCGGTATATGTCCCCAATTCGTCAAACACAGTACAGTTATCCCCATTCTAATTCAACTCGTTTTACGCTGTTTTTTCGTGGAAAGAAATTCATTATTTAAACCAGGTCAAAGTTCCTCTAGGTCAAAGGTTAATCATATCACTCCTTCAACTTACACCATCGCCAGAGAAAGTAGTTCCATTTTCAAACTACACACGTTTATTATGTGCACACAGACTAAATTTGACAATGATGAATAGATCATAGTATTATAGATAAAATGGACGGTATTATGATGAAACCGCCCTCTAGTTACAGAAATGAGCGCCCGCTGATTCCTCAACCACGGGCCATTATCAGTTCTGTTGTCAAATGACGCCATAGCAGGTGACGCCACGCTCCATAATGACGTCATAAACCTTGTTTCATGATCTAACAGTGTTGGGTCAACAGCCCGTTGCGAGTAAGTTGTTTGAACTTAAAATTAAATTTATGATACTGTTTTGTCTTTTTTAACACAAATTCCACCCATTTTAGCTGGATAGGGGAGTTAATTGACCAATGGCTTCTGCAAATGACAATGTCCTGCGAAACAGCGTTACCCCAATAGTGTAGGGATACATTCAAAGGTTTTGGTGAATCGGTTTTCAAATTGCGACCGTATATGCTGAATATACAGTCGGAAATTTATAGCATTGACCAATCAGAACTCATGTTACATACTAAGTTGAATTAGAATTAATAATATGAAAAAAATCCAGTTAATTTGTAACATCAAATAATAAACATGAACACAAATGATCAATTTTGTTTCTTTTAGACTTGTAACTTGTCAACAATAAAGAGAAAACATTTTCACATAATGATTTCAGTTATAATGTATAAAAAGTGTCAGGTTAGTTGATAAGCAATTACTGAGTTTATTTAGAGGTGACTTTTAAGACTGCAATCACAGAGACATCTTTTATCTTGAAAACATCACAGTACCAGTCTTGAACTTTCACATTTGATCTACTGTCATGGATTGAGATTTCACTGTAGACTATAGGAAAGTAAACATATAAAAACAGGTGTATCAATAGACTGTTTTTTGTGTTCAATTATTTAAAATTCTGCTCATCTTTATGTGTTGATTGCTTTCTTAATTCTGTCACTTTGACCTATCACAATCATCAAGTCTATTCGACAGTACACTTCACATAAGTGGTCATGTATCACATAAATGTCAAATAAGATATGAGGTAATTGCTGTAAATGTTGCCTTTAACATGCATGAATGCTGTGTCGACGCATCACACTAAGGTATCCCTAAAGGGTATTGGTATATAGTCACTAAATATTTTCACGCTGATAAATGAATAATCAAGTGAATGATGGAAAAAGATAATATCAATAAGGCCATCTCATGCAAAACACTTTTTAAAAGGATCACAGAAAACTGACAAAACTTCATGAAGTTCATGAACTGTCTGTTCACTCAAACAAAACTGTGAGAATACTTAGGGATACATTAAGATACAAGATTCACATGTATGACACTGTAAGATAACTTTGAACAGAGTTTATGCAGCCACTTACATATGAAGGTCATTGTAGAGCAAAGAATATCATTATACTCAATACTACATGTACTACTCTGTCTCAGTAGAATTATAGTAAATATCTCACCTAGCCCAGCAGCCCGACTGTTTGCTCTCTCCATGATTGCTCTCTTGCTGGGGTTGTTGAGAAGTGAACGCTTAGCTAGTGAAATGTCAGCTGTCACACGAGTGATGATTATCCTACAACATAGGGTCGCACTATTAATAAAATGATCGTAAAACCAAAGTAAAGTGCGAAAAAGGCATGGAGTGTTTTGTGTCATAATTCTCAAACCAAAAAATGATACAGCCTCTTTTTATTGGTCATTAATATGTTGTACATTTTAATCCAAATAAAAAGATAATTGTAACTTATTCTGAATTAATTTTCCTTGCATGCATTCTTGTATGTATTTCTCTCTTACCTTCCCTCGAACTTGTGTTTGAGATAATCAAACAGTGCCTTCTGCATCATGTCCGTCACCTCGTACCCTTTCAGGGAGGGCCCAATCAGCACGACAGGCCGCATTGAAGGCACAACTTCATATGGAGGAATGCTTTCAGACTGCAACAGATAAAAACACATGTCATTCATTACTACCATGGAACTAACTTCCTTAGGAAAATCTTTGGAGGCGAGCCATTTTCATGGGATTTTTTATACTTATGGTCGGCAATCATTCAGCAACATTACAGATTAAGGTTTTGAAATCATTACTTTCACAGGCATATGACAGTATAACAAAAGTAGGACCCTTGTTTTTCATAGACAGAGTCACCTGTGTGAACTATATGGATATAATATAGTTAGGCAATTAAATGGGTTCCACTGAATTACTGAATTCAAAACGTAACTAAATCAAGGGAAGGAAGTATAGTAATGTGTACTGAGTTCATTGCTTAGCATATGTGATGGTTCGTTGTTTAGGGTCACAATGCAATATTCCTGCTTTATGACTGTGGCCCGTGAACTTATTACTTGTTGTTCCAGTTATGTAATTTCCGCTTATTGTGTTAGGAACACTCCAAGCAATGCAGGTCCCAGACGTTACCACTTTGGTGAAATACATGAACAAAGGTATGGTGCTGAGACACCTAGAACCATAGTCAGAGTGAACCAGGAACTGAATCAACAATCTTTAGTTCCTGGTGTGCCCAAGGGGGGCAACTCTGCGCAGCTAATTGTGGCACCTTAGAACACTTGGCCACAGATACCTCTTATACTGATGGGCCGATGGATATGGTGGTTGTAGTTAGGTGACTATTGAGGGGGAAACAACTACTGCGATAGCGATAGTCTAGTGCGACCAACTATTACAATACTTTCTTTTTCCTTGAATTGTCTCATTTGAAGTCATTTCCCAAATGAATGTTTAGTTTATATGAAATAAAAGGAAGTTGAAGTAGTTTCAGTCTATTTTAATAACTGACAAGAAACTTGAAAGCCAGATCAAGTAACAGTCGGGAGATGGTGACCTAAGTTGGATAACTTGTTCCTCATCCCTTTCTTCACTGAATAAAATGTTTAAATCAAATCAAGTAACAGTTAAAACAAACTCAATGAAGCTGCAAGTCTGTGCCCAAACATCCTGTATTTTGCGCTGTGCATTTATCACCGGAAGTCAATTACTAAACTATCGATAGTCACACATACGATGCATCGATAGTTTTTCGTTTCTGCCATCGATTAATTGCTATTAGAGACTAAACAATTGCAATCCATCGATAGTTTGACCCATCATTACAGCCCTAGTTAGTGGTATTTGAAAAATAGTGTATGACAGTTACAGTTACACTGATGAATATATGATGTTACGGTTGTATTGATGGATATGCTATGGTAATCATAGTGTTATTGATGGCTATAAAGATGCAATTTTACTATTTTGGTGTATATGGTCTGTTTGTAATTGTGATACGGATTGATAAATTACAGTATGCAAGGAGGTATTGTTGGGCATGTTGTGATGTTGATGTATACGACATAGTAGTTACAGTGATGAATATATGATGCTATGGTTGTATGATGGGTATGCTGTGGGTGAGTGAGTGAGTGAGTTTTAGTTTTATGCCGCTTTTAGCAATATTTCAGCAATATCAAGGTGGAGGACACCAGAAATGGGCTTTACACTTTGTACCCATGCAGGAAATCAAACCTGGGTATGAGCGCACACTTTAACCACAAGGCTACCCCACCGCCCCAGGTATACAATGGAAGGTATACTTTTATTGAAGGATATACTATGGTAGTCATAGAGGTTATTTGTGCATAAGCTTTTATGTCTTTGATCATTTTTAATATACTTCACCTTTTTAAAGAAAGGTTTTCGCTTTTCTTTTGCCGGTGGTGTAATGTTCGCTTTGCTGGTTTTACCAAGACTGTCACTATCCTCTCCAAGATTGCTGTCCAAGCCATTCTGATCTTCTAAACCTGAAATAACATGCAACTCTCAAGACACTCCTGTCACTCAACATTGAAATATAAAACCACATACAACACGATATTATTGTTTGAGAAGAGTAGTTTATAAAATGATAAATGTCATCTCTTCCCCTAATATGAACTACAATAGTGCTACACTACACATCAATACTAACAGTTTATCAGTTATCATATCACATGCAAAACTTCAGCTTACATAACTCTTCAGTGTTTCCTTTTTTCAAAATTCCTATTCTGTAAAAGAGCTAAGAATTTACTCATTTTTCTAACTGGGTTTACTACTAAAGCAGTGTTTACATCACTATAAAGCTGATAGTTTTTTTAATCTAAAATGTCTGTATCTTGTTGAATGAATTCTTGCTGGCTGAGGATACAGTTTGAAAGCTGACTAATTCATTAGACAGTGTAATAACAATGCAAGTTCTCGTGAGTCCTTATCATTTTCCTCACAAATCCTCAAAAGCAATGACTTTATCAATGCCAGTCAAGTCTAAAATCAATATTCAGTCACTCCAAGGTTGAAATTTCATACATATCTGAGAGGGACAGGCTAAAAAAATGAAATGGTAGCATCCAATGTGATACAGTATCAACAAATATCATTACCAAAATTGTCATCCTGCATGTTTTTTAGCATAATATTGCATCCACAAAAAACCTCAATTCCATCAACCTTCACTATAGAAATGAACCCTGGGTTTGTGAGAGTCTTTGTCTACTGCAGCTGTCTCCCTTACCTGGAGTAGGTGGTGTAGACCCACGTAGTTAGAAGACTTGGAGTTGGCGAGCAGGTTGTCAATGTTAGAGGAAGAGTTGGTTTTGCTGAAATATAATTGAAAGGAACTATTTAACTGTGACAGCTGAGACAGTTCCTATAACATTAATCACGGGGAAATGTTTGTGGAAAGAATCCTACTCCAAAATCATGGTCTGAAAAAAAAATGTTTTAGTGGAAAGACAGTATGTAATCATATATTAAAATTACCAGGGTTTTGCTTTTACCAAAATAAAAAGCATACATACACGTACGAAAAGAATATGTGAAGAAAAACTTGTATTCAATAGTGAACAAAACATTCCTTTGCAGAAGGAAACAAGAAACTTAAAATGCCCAGAAACAAACACCTAGAAATAATTACAAGGAAACATTCTATATAACAGAAACTAAATTTCTAGGCATGGCTCAGCTTGATTCATCCATAATTAAGTTGAGTCTTATTCTGAGTCACATGGTGCTACTACCATTTCCCACTAACCTAATTACCACATGACTAACTGACATTTATACAACAGTACATAAGAAGTCATTCCATGACTAAAGCACAAATGTGTCTCACAGCATGCAGTCTAGAACTTAGCTAAGCTCATTATTTCAGACAGTTGAATGAGACTAGTTTCACCTGTTCGTGAGAGTTATTCAGTACATGAAGAGTGTGCATGAATATTCTCTTTAGCCAGAGTCCGTTAAATTCCCTTGATATTTCCAATGCTTGAGTTCGGAATTGTTTCATCAAAGAAGAAATCCAGGTGGTGTGTATGCACAGTTTTTAATGATTATGCATCAAATACCAACTCCTGCTGACTGTTGACCAAAGCCTCCTCAGTGGTGAATGTAAGCATCTTAAGATGCAGTCTTACTTTGCAAAGGTCTGTTTCTAGGTACATCAACACATAAAACATTCCTGTGTCAAAGAAGCAAAGATGATGTAACACATCTTCTGCAATACAGGATCCATCAATGTCAGCCTGTGACTCCTAATAGCACTGGTTTGGAGGCTGATGTGGAGCCATCGCGGACATTAAGTAATATTGATGAATCTGTTGTGGATATCGGTTACATACTTGCTGAATCTAACCATGCAAGCAAGCTATCTGGGAAATAACAACTGCAAAAAGTTAGTGCAGATTGTGTTCTTGTATCCATTTGATATCGTCATTTCATTCTCCGCACATTCATTTTAACTATCTTCAGAAGGAAGTTCTAATAGCAGGTGAGATCATTTACTCAAAGACCACAATTAAAAAGATAGGTCGATATTTCATGTCTTACATTAAGTTCACTGTGGCTGACACAAGTTGTTCACTGACTGTTCAGCAGGCTCAAAGCAGGAGCCACACAACAAAGGTCATGGAACAATCAGTACCATCCACATCAGGAACACAAGGCAGCTACCTCTGTGCAGCTTCCAGAAGTGTTGTCAAGTAGTCATGGGAGATTGAAGGCATCAATTCTGAGCAATTGCTCCTATCTGGGATGATTTGAGTTGATGTGCGCTGTCAGATTGATCAGTGGTGTCGCAAGGAGTAAGCTCCCCTAATTATTTGCTCCTTTCAGCAGGCTGGTACTTATGCTACTCACATCCACAGAATCAGATGAATTAACCTCTGCATATTGCTTGTCAAATATTTGCACACACAAAATCCTTCATCAAGAAAGCCTCTCAATACAAAGAAATGGACAGTCTGAGTTAGTGGTTCTATTCCTCTGGCTGGCAAACAAATGCAAGCTGCCTGCTAACATACAAACTAGGCAGTTTCTGCTAACTATGCACTAATCAATACAGACTCAGAACTACAATTCCAGGCCCAACTGTGCTTTTAAATACACGTTTCATGTATATTCTAGATGTAACTATGAATGCAGAACATATCTGTCCATGCTGCACTGTTCCATTGTCCAAACAATCTTCAATGTGTGCCCCAATGTGATCTATATCAAAAGCTATCAAGTCAAAGAACAAGCCATATACTCCCATGCTTTGGTTTGCTTGAAGCATAAACATGCACATCTTCTGAAATCAAGTCATTATGCCACAGGCCTGTGATATATTCAGTGTTATCAGAAGGCTCCTTTGATGAGATATTTCCTCTAGATCATTGCTCCAAAAGCACTTTCAATAAAATTTACCTAAGCTATAGTTTCACTGAATAATATTGATACTGAAGAAAAAGAAATGAAATATTTGTAACTATCTTTCATGAACTACTGATTCATGCTTCTTCTTTAAGATCACAGTTTCTATCTACATCAAAATGTTCAATACACATCAATTAACAACATGGCACCACTGATCATGAACCACAAAAATCAACCAGGTGCTCAATTTCTACTAAAGCTATCACACTCCACACCCAATTTGTGTGAATTCTGATGCAAGCATATGAAGCCAGTCCAATCAAACCCTTCCAAAGCTCAACTGACTAAACTGCTTTTAGCCTCAAACTCATTTCGAACTCTTGATCTAGACACCGCACACCTAGTTACAGGTCACATGACCAGTCATGTGACCAACTCACTGACCCAAATGGTGGTGGGGAAGCAGGGTAAGAGTCTGGCGTATTTGCCTTCTCAAGAATCTGCTTGGTCAAGGTTAACAAAGAACTGAAAGAAAATTAATGTTACAAAAAAGCATACAACTGAACAGGGTAATGCCTTCATTCTTCTGGTAACTGTTCTCATGATCTTCCAAACAATAATTTCAATCACTGTCATCACATCACAAACTACATTTAATTTACATATTTCTGCCTTTTCTTATTTTGTTATTCACTCATCACAAACATTTAATCCCTTTTCATGGTTTTATTCTTCATTCCTAATAGTCATACATTTCTTTTTCCTGAAATTTCATTTCCAAACATATATGACACTATATACTGTACTTCATGCCATACAGTCCAGATATTGTCATTGTCTACCATAGACTAAGTTCTCTGTATGAAACACATAAGAACATTTGGTAAATGAGATAGAGTAAAATATATATTTGTAAAACATAATATATATTTGGAACATTCGTATTAGTTCATGGAAAAAAGCAAAACAGACTTGATTAGGTACAAAATCAACACTAAACACCACCAGGAGGTTGCAAAAAAATGAACAAAACAAAACAAACTGGATGCCATTGTACAAATGGATCTTGGTGTAAAAGTGACTGTAACTCCCATACTTTAAAACAGACTTAGTCAGCATAGGGCTAAGGTTGTCTGTACAATGGTGCCCTGCACTGTATTTAACAGCAAAAATCATTAGGTGACATTTCTCCTGAGATCCTTGACATAAGTTCTTGTAATGCAATGTTCAACTAGCTTTTAAGTTACCATCCAAATGACAATAACAATCAAAAGAGTAAAAGCATCCCGTCCAACTATGGTGCAAGATGTGACCTATTTCACAAAGACATATTGAATATATTTTTTATTCAAATGCCAAAGTGAACCTTGACAACATTTGATTCCAGGTCAAATTTCCAGGTCCAAAGAAAAGTCAAAATCACGTTTTTAAGACAAAAAAACAAACAAAAACAAACAAAAACGCTCTAAACAGCAAATCCTCCATTTCATAACTTGTTTGTGTAAAGATTTACAAGAAACTATTCTATGTATGTATTATTTTTCCTCCCATCACCCCCACCTCCCCCGAAAAGAAAGAACAAAAATAAAAAACAATAGTGATTGGAAGCAATCATTTCACCAGTGGGTGTGCAAAGTATACTTTAAAAAAACTAAATATATAGTGAGTTATGCTCCAAAAACCAATAAACTAACAGACAGACAGAGAGACAAACTGAAGGACAGACAGACATGCTGATCACCACATTCCCTGCCCCACCCCCTGCTTTATATGCTGGGGTGGGGTGGTTGGGTTGGGGGATAACAAAACATTAACGTCATGCAGGTAGAATGCAAACATCCAGCTTGTGTCTCGCGGACTGAGGGCATAGTTAGTTTCAACTTACAAAATGCAAGCATTTCCAAAGCTTGATTATTTTTCAATGTTATCAATGTATATTTTTTTATGTTCTGTACAAAGCATGCACTTTGTTTTTACTTTAAAATCATTACACTTTGGGGACACTAACAATGACAAATTGAATATACATGCCTACACGTTCTACAAGGAACACATGTGAAGGCTTCATCCACACTCAAGGACTATGTGTGGGTGACAATCATCCTATCAACTGGCTTCTTGGACTGGACTAAACCAATCACATAGTTTGAGGAATTTGATGGCAGAAAATACACTTTAAATAAATAGTGCCTAACAAATACAAAGGGACAGAAGTGAAGGCTTCACACCAGGGTAGTGTGTGGGGAAGTATCAGCCAATCACATGGAATTTCAGGAAATTGCTCAACCAATCAGAGTTATCTGAGGGATGCATTGGTCAATCAAATAGCATACCCTGGGGGCAGTGTTGCTATATTTGGTATGGGAGGAGTCGGTCCTTCCTGCACATCTGGGGTCTTTTTTCCTTCTTTGTTTCTAAATAGAGAAAACAACACAAAATAGGGAGAAAAGACTTAAAATGATACAGCTGAAAATAAAGTGATCATGAAATCAAAGAAACGAAAGTAGAGACAGGATTTCTTTGAGAGACATAAATACCTTTGAAAAATATGTTTCCCTTGCAAAATAATGGTGGCAGAAAGGTGTAACACAGACTAAACTACCACTACAAAAAACTGTGAAAAGATGTGAAATCATACAAATATTACTTAATGAGTGACATCATATGTAATACACTCAGCCTGTATCATGCAGCCTACTATGAGTGACAGGAAACATAAATTATTGTAATGACGATATAATACTGTCCTCAGCAGAAGAAGCATGTTCCACAGCATGAGCCCAGTCCGACACAAGTATTTCCCTCTATAAATACTTTTCAGATCAATGAGTCAAGTAGATCGAAAGCACCACGATGGTCTACCTTGTGTCTTAGGCCTAAAGACCAGGGTGCCGTTGTACAAAGCGATCATACAGCTAAGGTGATCATAACTCCCATTCTTTAACATGGAAATACGTGAGTCGTAGCGCTGCGAGCGCTTTGTGAAACGGGCCCCTGCATCTGTACAACTGTTTTGATAAGAAGGCTGCACAAGTGAGCTACAACTTCGCCTACCTTGTGTAGAGTTTTCCTGTGCGCCCACCGCCGCCTGGCTGCAGCTTGAGGTTCTCCAGCTTGGCTGGACTGGGGATGAAGCGAACATCGCACCCCTCCTTTACTAAACGCCCTATCCACCAGTCATTATTGAATTTCTGAAGATAAACACCAAACATGTCAGGATGTCATTAAGAAGGTTGTGGTAGGTGAAGCAATAATCTATCCATGTCACTATTTTAGATTTGCCACCTACCTCTTTGATATGGAGGAAGTCCTTGACCCCAAAAGACACTGCGTACCCATGGACAGGCGAGTCATCATCCAGGGACCCATCGTAAGACACATTGGTTCTCACGGCAAAAGCTACTGGCTTGGTCTGAAAAACAAGGAATGAACAAACGAATGAATTGTGTTTCATGTCGTAGTCAGGTGATCATAGACCTATTTACAGCAGTCTTCATGTAACCAGTCTCTGTGAACTATGGGTCTTTGCCCTGACTTCTTTCTGCATTCCAGCACATAGACCATTCTCTTTGGCAATCACCCCCAAAAAAATTTCGATTTAAGATTTCATCTGTATTTCAAACCAACTATATAGTTTTGGTATTCTGAAATATTGGCAAGGTTGTTCTTGTTCAATAGATATTTATTAATTATTGCTAATATAAACAGTTAATATTTACATCAAATATTATTTTCATAAGAACTGTTCAATATTCACTGCAATGTCAGTCTTAAAAATACAAATTTATGAAAACATTAACTTCATCTTCATCCTTTCTTCAAATGCATCAATCACCAACATAAAGAGCCTTCATGATCGACATTGAGAGCACACTCACTTTGGCTTTTTCCAGTTGGGCCAGTGCTTGTCGCTCCGTCTCTCGCCGCAGTGTCTCCCGTTCTTCATCCAGGGAGAGGTCGGAGGAAGGCTGGCTGTAGTTGGAGTCAGCAGAACCCTGCAATAGACGGACACACCATCAGTATTGGTGCATTCACAGAAGTGGTCAGTGTTGCTTCACATCACAGTCAACGATACTGAAGCCATATGCCTACACTACAGAAAGGTCTTGCCAGTGGCTGATATCAAGAGTAACCACGTATATCATCCAAGTAAACATACACAGCATCAGCCAGTAACATATTGCCAATACTTGGCCTGTATTATACAACAGTCAGGGGTACTAGGACCTGTCCTACTGTGTACACACTTGGAAACACACAAGAAACAAAAGATGAGAGAAGTGTTTAAGTACCAGTGAAGGATGTTGCTTGATAGAGTGAGTGAGTGAGTTAGTTAGTTAGTTTTACGCCACACTCAGCAATATTCCAGCTATATGGCAAAGGTCTGTAAATAATCGAATCTGGACCAGACAATCCGGTGAGATCAACAGCATGAGCATCGATCTACACAATTGGGATACGATGACATGTGTCAACCCAGTCAGCGAGACTGACCACCCGATCCTGTTAGTCACCTCTTACGGCAAGCATTGGTTATTGAAGACCAATTCTAACCTGGATTTTCACGGGTATGTTTGATAACGTACTTTGTTGTCAGTGTTTGAAATACAGAAAGTCAAGTGTTCCTTATAACTCTGATATATATGAAGTTACTAGATACAAATACCTATCAAAACAAACCACAAGGCCCCCAAAACGTACAATTGTTACAAATCTAAGTTGTTTTCAGCAAAAAAATAGTAATGAAAGTTTTAGGTGTTTTTTGGGTCCTACAAGATACGTCTTAGTCTTCATACTTCATTTTGTAACTTCTGTATTTGCTCATGCTTAATTTCGTTCAAATTTGTCAAAAACAGACACTCTATCCAAAACAGGGAAATATCTTGGAGATAAGCCCTTGACATTGGAGGGCTAAGGTCAAAGGCCATCAAATTTGGAGTATTTAATCTTAATGTACAAATCATTAGTTATGGAGCATTCATATATTCTACTACAGTACAATTAAGGTATTATCCATTAGTCACTATTTGGCTGATGCGACCTTAAATGTTTACTCACTCACTCATTGTTCACCAGCAATGTAATTGTCAGACTACAATACTCTGGCCCATTAATCACTATACAGATCAAGTTAACGATGCAGAGGGAAATTGTGACAATACCTGGTAATGCAATGAGAATTTCCAATCAATCATCCCACAAAAAGGAGGTATGTAAGTATTCAAGTCAAATTACAGCCGATCACAATGGACTTGTAGTAAGGACGGACCACAGTAGTCTTATACTGAGGCATTCCTGTCAGCACCATGTGCAGTTATACATCAGTTAATATGGCAGCAGTAGTTTAGGCTGTGTATATAAATATAATATATATTTATGTGTATGTATGAACAGATCAGAGAGCTGTGCCTTGTGATATCAATTCAATCAATAACTATAGTCACGATCGGTTTAGATGAAGCTGTACAGGCTCAGTGAATGCTAAGCATTTGTGGCTGTCATTAAAACGCTTTTGACAGTTGCTGTGGTGGGATAATCATTCCAGCCATGAGTAATTGTTTGCTGTGTGTTTTTATGAATATATCTTGTCCTGCATAGTTTCAAACGACATAGTAATCTGCTTACACTGGCAGTTCCTGCAATATAATGCTTGATTATGCGGTCAGCAATAATTTTACAAAGAGCGGATACTTTAAACAAAAACTATCCACAAAATGAGAGGAATTTAATAACTGAGTGAGTTAGTATGGTTTTATGCCACTTTTAACAATATTCCACCACAGGTGGGGACACAAAAAGGGTTTCAACACTTTGTTCATTCTCTGGGGAATTGAACCTGGATCATTGGCAAAACAAGCGATTGCCTAAGACCGCCTCCATGGTGTAGTGGTTAGAGCGTCCGCCCGGAGAGCAGAAGGTCGCGGGTTCGATCCCCGACCGCTTCATACCAAAAGAAGTTAAAATATGGTACTTGTTGGTCCCTGCCTGGCGTTCGGCATTAATGGGTACAACAAGGACTGGTCGGCTCGGAGTCAGTATAATGTGTCTGAGTGGGGTATTCTTGCTTCACTGCGCAATGGTATCTCAGTGGGCTAGCACTATAAAACCAGCTTAAGTCTGGGCTAGTACAAGCAGCCACACATACACATACACACGCATGCACATCGTCATATGAGTGAAATATTCTCAAGCACAACGTATAACCACATATCATATCACCTTAACCACAAGACTACCATAAAATTCTCGAAATTTGATAAAGATATTCAGAAAATGATAAACCTGCACATAAATTCAAACTGTCATCAATATTATGTCTGTGTAATCAGGCAACATGGAAGCAAACACAAGAAGACATGCTGGATGCCAACCGGAAAATCAGAAGGTCCTATGTGTTACATAGCTTACTTCTTTCATATTGACCTCAGCTATTTGATTCCCATAAGCATGGTACAATAGGTTATTCAGCAGTGTGTATGATTGTCAGTCACTTGAACACAAGAACAACCATCACACTGTTTGGACATGCAGCATGCTTGGTTATAACTGTGACACACAATGGCACATCTGTGAAACTCTATCCGAGGAAATTCTAAAGGATGCTTCTGTTGCTTCGCAAGATTCTCATCAGAATAATCATCAAAATCAGCAGTGCATTTATGTACATTGATGTTTTGTAAGGTTAAGGTCCTGACGTCACACTGTGGAGAATTTGATGGTGTGTGTACTTCATTAAAACCTTGGCTTGTGACACACCGGACAGCACCAGTGCTGTTTCCATGTACTCATGAAAGAACAATCTCAAGAATGGAGTCACAAATGAGAAATGAAAAACAATTCGGTCTTCAGAGTACAGACACCATCACACAATGACGAAATGTTATCATGGGCCAAATCCCAGAATGATGTAGAAGTCAACAAAGTTTTTCCACGTCAGCATATAGCCTCCTGAGATACATCACATCACTCTGCTTGCTCTGTTGTTGAGGGAAAACTTCCTAGATAAGCCCTACCTCAGAAAACATTCAGTCAATGTCTAACTTCTAGCCAAAGCTTTTAGACAGCCCTGATAAAACCATGAGCTACCTCATCATGCGCATAGAAGTACAGTTGATCAGGATTCCCCATTCATTAGAAACATAATGCTTTCCCCAGAACAGCATCTGCATCTGAATGATGGTCCGTTTGCCAGTGCTACAGTTAGACACTAGATTCTTGCATCGATATGCATTTAACATTTCCACAGCTAATACCTATTCCTCATCCTCTAAGCATTGTTTCCCTTTGCAGTTTTCATACATTAAAATGTTGCAAATTGTGACTCAATAGAAATGACTAGTTAATGAACCAATGAAGGAAGTCTCCTCATCCAAACGTGTAAAACAGTCAGCCTCTGTCTGTAGCAGCAACAATATGAATACCATCGCTGTGTTAGTGCAAGCATGTAACTATGTTAGAACTGTTTAGTTGGCTCTTCACCAAAAAGCCACCCCTTGACAAAAAGGAAGCACCTGCCAGATACTTCATGTGTTACACAAATGTATACACAGGAAAAGAGACCCTGCCAGGGCCAATTATTCAAGAGGCTGTACAGGAGTGTGGGGATGTGATATTAGCCAGGCCTCTCTGTTGATCCTGGTGGACCTCCAAACACTAGTCTGGACAACTCTGGAAGGGAGATTAGGGTTACACACAGCTTACACTTTATGGCAGTAAGATAGGGTTCCACATTACTCTAGACTAAGGTAGAGTCTCTAAGGTAAAAATTAATAGTTTAAATGAAAATTGCTAAAAAATAATAAATAACAGTTTTGGGTCCTTAGACCATACGGTCTGCTTATGTAGACTTGTGTCTTCGAAGGATAGAATTACTATACATCCATGGGCTTAGCATTCAGCACTGCCTTGGAGTGAGGCTAACATTACTTAGACAGAAGGCACCATGTTACAATAGTCTGTCTCACAGTCCCTGAACCACATTATTTTCCCTACTGCCAAGCCCTATCTGCAGTGCTAAAGCCCTAAATAAAGCAAGTCTAGATTTTCTCAGGTCTGAATCTCTGGTCTGCCTGGGGCTCCTTTTCAATTTAAATGGGCTTGTTTGTTACCATGGTTACTATCAAAATTATATATATTCAAAGACTAAGCGTTAGTCTACATGTTCTATAAAACTCAGACAAGATGGCAAGGCACCAGGTTACATATTTCTCAGATAAGATGATAGAGAGAATTATAAATTATGTTACTGTTACAAGTTTGTATGACATTTGAATTCACTTTCCATATTCAAAACCATTAAACACTATAAACAGTATTAGTTAATTAATTATTAATGTTCAGCATTTTAGCTGGGAAATAGGGCTCCCTTATCGTAAAGACATGATGTTCGGGTTCCTCAGGGGTAAGACAGAAGCCAGGTAGACTGGTGGGACCTCTATGACTGATAGATGATGTCAGTGCTCTACATTAGTCAAATGAGACATTGTAGAGAACATGGGTTATGCATTCTGCAGAAAGGAGGGCAGGTATCTGGGGGTTACACATTACCCAGGCAAGATTAAAAGTAATTCTGGCTTTCACTCTGCTAAGGCAGGATTGATAGAGATAAAACAATATCCAAGGTAGTAACAAAGGGACGAGTAGACATGACTGCAGACTACACTGAACTGAGAAATAATGGATAGTTTTGACTTTTTCGCATAACCAACACACAGCAAATGATTTAGATCAATGAACACTGACTGGAGCAGAATATTCAGAACTAATTTCACAACACACTATCATGAAACAGGAAAAGATGATCCTGGGGCAAACTGGATGACAAGTATACATGAATATTAATGTAGGTAAGAAAAAACTCCTTTAGATCACTCAGGAATGAGGTGTGTGATGAACCCAATCGAGACCAGTGACCACCCTTCTCAAGCCTACAGACATATAACACTACCTCATTCTGCACTATGAATATACAGCCATAGTTAAAGAGGAAGAGGTA